TTAGGGTTAGCAAATCCTCAGCAGCAGCACCAGTGCTATTCGTACGAAAGCCAGGAGGAGGGCTCCGTTTCTGCGTCGACTACCGAGCGCTAAACGCTCTCACAAAAAAGGACCGCTACCCCCTTCCCCTGATTCATGAGACGCTGAACCAGATCGGACGAGCGAGATGGTTCACGAAACTCGACGTATCAGCCGCGTTCCATAAGATCCGGATTGCCGAAGGAGAAGAATGGAAAACCGCGTTTCGTACGAGGTACGGACTTTACGAATGGCTTGTTACCCCCTTTGGCCTGGCCAACGCGCCGAGCTCATTCCAGAAATATATCAACTGGTCCCTACGAGAATACCTAGACGATTTCTGCTCCGCCTACCTCGACGATGTATTGATCTATTCGGAAGGGAACATCGAAGATCATCGAAAACACGTAAAGAAGGTCCTCCAGAAGCTACAGGAAGCTGGCCTACACTTGGATATTGGGAAGTGCGAATTCGAATGCACCGAAACCAAGTACCTTGGCTTTATCGTACGAGCAGGAGAAGGGGTTAAGATGGACGCTGAAAAAGTGCAAGCGATACTCGACTGGGAAACACCAACCACAGTCCGAGGCGTGAGGGGATTCCTCGGCTTTGCCAACTTCTACCGACAATTCATCCCAAACTATTCAGAAGTCGTACGACCTCTTACCCAACTCACGCAAAACAACGTCCCCTTTGTCTGGTCTACTATATGCGAGAAGAGCTTCCAGGAGCTAAAACGACTCTTCACAACAGAGCCGATACTAGCAGCCTTTGACCCATCTCGTACGACAGTGGTAGAGTCCGACTCGTCAGGATACACGGTTGGAGGAGTCCTCTCACAGTACGATGATAAGGGTGTGCTACGACCATGCGCCTACTTCTCCAAGAAAAACGCTCCCGCCGAGTGTAACTATGAGATCTACGATAAGGAGCTGCTCGCTGTCGTACGATGCCTAGAAGCATGGGACGCAGAACTACGTTCAGTCCAAGGGAAATTCCTCGTTATCACCGACCATAAGAACCTAGAATACTTCTTCAAACCAAGGAAGCTCACTGAACGGCATATGCGGTGGTCACTCTTCTTAAGTAGGTTCAACTTCGACTTCCAATATCGCCCCGGTACAGACAACGCCCGAGCGGACGCCCTATCACGACGAGACCAAGACAACCCAACCGAGGAAGACCCAAGAATCGCAGATCGTACGAAGTGTCTCCTAACGCAGATAGGAGACGATAAGGCTACTGTGAATATCCATGCCACGACCGCACAGCAAACCCCTGACGAACAAGACTGGGAGCTAGCGAGAGATGGGGATGACGAGTACCAGGGCGCTATACGGACACTACAACAGGGCCTACGGAAGTTCCCACCAGAACTAAAGCTAAAAGTCTCAACTTCCGAATGCACAATCGACCAAGCCCAGAAACTTCGCTTCCGCGGAAGGTTATGGGTCCCTAACTCTGAGCCCCTTCGTACGAAAATCATTCAGACCGCACACGACTCTCGACTCACCGGACACCCAGGGAGGGAGGAGACCTATACAGTGGTTAGCCGCGAGTACTTCTGGCCGAATATGTCGATCGACATCCGGAGATTCGTACGGAACTGTGACCTATGTAACGGGGCGAAACCATGGCGAGAGCTGAAGCGAGGCCTCCTAAAGCCGCTCCCGGTGCCAGAACAACCATGGCGAGACGTGGCCCTCGACTTCATCACCGATTTACCACCAAGCGACAGCCGTACGAACATCTTGGTAATCACAGATCGGCTGACAAAGGGAGTGATCCTAAGGCCGATGAAGTCAATTTCGGCCGAAGACTCCGCATGGGCAATCATTGACAGCCTCGTACGACAACACGGATTCCCAAACTCGATCGTCTCGGACCGAGGAACCCAATTCACAAGCCTCCTATGGGAACGGATCTGCCAGCTATGTAAGGTTATACGACGGCTGTCGACGGCCTACCACCCCGAGACCGATGGACAGACCGAACGACACAATAGCACGTTAGAAGTGTACCTACGCCTCTTCGTACGATTTGAACAGAACGACTGGAAACGCCTACTCCCAATGGCCGAACTTGCGTTAAATGGACGAGTCTCCGCAGCAACCGGCGTAAGCCCTTTCTTCCTAACCCACGGTTATAACCTCTCTCCATTTGACCCACCAATCGAGGAACCGCGTATAAACAGCACCATTACCACGCCAGAACCAAGCCCAATCCAAAAAGCAGAAACGATCGTACGAAAGCTAGCTGGAGCTATGGACTGGGCACGTGCATCGATAGCCTACGCCAACCAACAGATGGAAGCAAACGCTAACCGGCACCGACAACCGGCGCCTACCTTCCAAGTCGGAGACGCTGTTTGGTTAAACCTGAAAAATATACAGACCGAACGACCCTGCAAGAAGCTCGACTGGAAGAACGCAAAATATAGGGTTCAGGAAGTTATTGGTTCCCACGCAGTACGACTGGATACGCCACCCGGCATTCACCCAGTATTCCATGTTAACCTCGTACGACTCGCGACACAAGACCCCCTTCCGTCCCAACTGGCACACGAACCGCAACCACCAGCAATCATAGTCGACGACCAAGAAGAGTGGGAGATCGAAGAAATTATAGATGAGACACAAACACGCAGGAGGAACAACGCTCGTACGAGCTACAAGGTTAAGTGGAGAGGCTACACGAGACCAACCACAGAGCCAGCGGACGCACTCAAGGACACAATAGCGTTAGACGTGTGGCTACAGAAGACCGCACCGTTTAGAAAGATCGATGGGTCCCTTGATAAGGCTAGCTACTACGCTTCGTGCTAGTGCTAACTGAGTCTAGAAACCTCGATATTGTGTGTTGATTGCGTCTATGAAAAGTGCTAAGCCTCGTACGGTCTAGTCAATGAGCTCCTCTACAACAGAGGGCGGAGGGAGAGGGCCAGCTCCACACTTCCCGCTGCACTGGAGTGAAGCACAGCATTCGAAGGGCTTCGTTTCCCGCAGCAGTCAGACGGACCTTGACATACTGCTTCCCTCCGTGCTCAATGCGAGTCAGGGGCAGGAGCATACGCCGGGAGGAGGGTTCGACTTGACGCGGGTCGTACGACAGAAGATTGAAGTTAGACGACTCCATGGTTGACAGGAGGTTTGGAGACTGCGAATAAAAAATAAAAAAAAGAAGAAGAAGAAGGGAATTGAGGACCTATTTATGCCTTCCAACTACAGCCCACATGCTACAAAGCAACGACGTCGTCGAACACGTTTGCCCTATTCGGCCAATCATAGGCCACGATTTTGTTTGCTTCTCCCATTGATTCCTAATCTGGCGTCTATTGAAGCAAACAGTCATTGTCCTAGGGGGGGGGGGTATTGTTATGGGGCCGTCGTACTTCGTACGAAGCCCTATGGAAGATGCTTGCTTATGCTGCGCGGAATCTGCCAAACGTTACCGCCTTCGACGGAATATGTACACATTTGTTAGCTCAGGAGAACTCCTCTCCTCAACGAAACCTTCTTGTTCTTAAAACCCGTCTAAGTTGCACAACTAGGCTAGTTCCGTAACAGAATGGCTTTATGAGATAAAGAAGGTAATCGATCTAACGCCATTCGTCGTTGTTAAGTGCTATCTCCTCGTAGTTATAGTCTATATAGAATATACTAAGGAAATCACGGAGCCTCTTTACCCGGCGAAGTATAAGAAACGTTAAGTTCCACCTAGTCTTCACATCCTAAAGTAGTATAAGTGCCTATTCTAAGGGCTGAAGACTGATAAAAGCTTCGCGACGTTAGGACTAGCCCGGATATAAATAGTAAGATACCGTACCTTATTTAAAGTATGAGATATACTGCGATTTTTACTTTAGGCATTTGCTTTCGCGAGTATTGATTAGCGATCAGACCATTTGGTCTCAGTTATATCATTCTAAGGGACTACTTTTAAGCGATCAAGAAGTTGGTTCAGACTCAATTGGATAACATATATAAGACAGGGTATTCGGATAATATGAATATCGCTCGATAATACCTATTATAGCGAGTTAACAAGGGTCTTGTTATTCGATGTATTATCCGTGGTTAACCTAAACACACGATCCTAGATGTTGTGATTAGTGAGTATCTCTAAGAGGACACCACTTAGATTAGCACTAGTATAAGCACCTTCGAGGGGTTTAAACCTAAGAAGCACCTCCCGGTAGGACCAATCAATATTAATGAAATAGCTAGTGATAGCTATAAATGCTTATCCGAATGGTGAAGTCCAGCAATCCAATATAATTGAGATTTTTACATCTGCTAGAAGTAGTTTGAGTGTAGACTGTTAACGTTCTTTCACACGAGCAGATAGTCGACGCCGAACTATATTAGTAGAGGGGATAGATAGGAGGCTTAGGGCCGAGTGTGCTTATGATATTATCCGTCGAAACGTTAGATGTTCGATAAGGTGAAAGGGAAGTCGATTGATCGTGATAAACTATAACAGATTATCCTCCTAAGCTGCCTCAGAGAATGGCTCTCGGATAGTATTTTCCTATTTCAATTATATTAGTGGTACGAACCGTACTAGAGGGGCATCCATACTATTGACTGAATAAACTTATCGAGTCGCCCTCGTTGCTGATCTCCACTTAAAACCCTTTTATAGGCAGAAGTCCGAAGATGCCTAGTCATAGTAGTTGTACTATAACGCGCATCCTTCCCGTTCGCATCTTTTTTGGCTACATAAGGATATTTAAGGATCGTAGAGCAATGCTTATATATAACCACCACTCTACCCAATATTTTGGCGCTAGTGCCTTTGCAGTGGGTCCCGAGAAAAGAAAAGCAAGTGTTAAGGAGGAAGCAGATTTCGCTAGTGACTGTACAATTCTCTAGAGATACTTTGCGTAGAAGGGATAAATGCGTGGTACTGAGCTTTTCGAACTCTATTAGCATTTTGCGACCCCGCATAAATGACTCTTGATTCAGATAACGATGCCATAATTAAAAACAAAGTGCGAGTAAATCTACTTCAATTCCTACATCATCTTTCACACTCAGCGTTGTGTACGTAGATATCAGCGCGTCTTCGTCGTCCTCCACAACGTCGTCTTCCTCCTCGGCGTTGAACTCAATTACAGTGCACTTCTCAAGGAAGGGACGGTCATGGTATTCATTTCCAAGAACCTTTTCCGCTTCCAGCTTGTTTGAAGTAGCATCTAGCAATCGACCAGCGGCGACATAGTAATGGACTGTCCATCCACGGTCTCTGAGGGTTTCAAGCTCATCAACTTGCCAGCGCTCTCTCAAAGGACCACAGTCAAAGGTGCTCTTTGTGTTTGAGGTAGAACTGAAAGGGTAGTATAAAGATTTGTAGGTGATCAAGCATATCTCATGGGTCGCGAAGAAAGCAATTTTGGCTTTACCGAGGTCCTTCACTGTTACACTCTTTTCATCTGCAAGCCTGCGATAAGTGGACCCAAAATTCTCCTTGAACATCCTGTTAGCAGGAAATATGAATTATATCAGGAGGGATATTTCATACATCTGTAGCTTCATAAGAGGCCCTGGTGGTCAAACATCGGTGCTAGAGAAAGGCGGAGACGGGAGATGGTATGTACATTGTACACTGAGCCTGGATTATGGGATCAATGGCTAAAGTGGTCATTGTCTCCTTTATCACACTCTTGACATCATCAAATTCACCAAAAAAAGCATTGCAGCACAGCAGGGCCATCGAAGGGCAGTATAGATGAGGGAAGGGCCATTGTAAAAACCCCCAATCGCATGAACTGGCTGATAGGGTCGTTCAAAAGAAACAAGAAATTTCACTGCATAAAGGTACAGTATATGTACTTTGTAAGAGGTAAATGAATATCACTCTAGGCCATATCTCTAGAACCTTTGTTGACACAAGATGTGCCCGATGGACCGCAATTCCTACTGTGTTTCGCCCGTGTCGAGTGAAGATGAGATCAGATCAAACATTCGATCAAAGGCAGGGCCAATATGCACCCTGTGATCCTAACAATGGAGAGAAGAGACTCTACCCGGCACATCCCTGCATTACTTGTTATGTATGTCTATTCTGTACTGCGACAAATTCACAATCGAACGATGTGATATCAAAGGGATAAAACAATATGAGCAGTTCCAATCATATCAGATGTAAAAAAGAAAGGAATAAAACAAGAAATTTAGCGACGATGGATATGAAGATGCCGGCAAAACGCCGAGGTCATATAACCGAAGAAGCCGAGCCCCCGCCCTTTTTTTCAGAACAAAAGAATCCCTGACCTTTTGGATATTCAAATATTATTTTATTTGAAACAGCCGATTATTCTGTTAATGGATACCGAGAGCCCAGATCGACCACGCACGCGGGCAAAGAAAGCCTGCCTGACATGTAACTCGCGTCGCGTGCGATGCAACGTGTTGGAGATGCAGCCCTGCCAAAACTGCGTATCTTGGAATCTCACTTGTGAAGTAGGGGTTTCACGGCGTGGAAAGTAAGGATATTATGAAGAATTGATCAATTTTATGCTCATTCTAGGCAGATATCCCCGAAAGAAAAAGGGATCGGCTCGAACATCCACAACGCCGGCGGCAAATGCGTCGGATTCCCGAGTCATTCAGCGTCAATTTCCATTACCCGGACAGGGCTCTCAGTATCCAGCTCGTCCCGTAACAGCAGAGGATGCGATCCATAAAACCGTGTTCCTCGGCGAGTCAAGTCCTCTCACCTGCGTTGTGGATGAAGGGCAACGATCCCCAGACAAGGGGTATGCATGCAGTATCCAAAAAGGCCGACTGCACTACTCCATTTCTGAGATGAGTGGAGCAAGTGAGAATAGCCAGAATTCACTTGGCCCTCGCAAACTGATACATGATCGTCTTACCCGCGAAGGGGCTCTCGTATTCCCGTCGCCTGCTGTCTGCGACGCGTTACTTCAAGCATATTTTGACTGGCTCCACCCATGTTTTCCAATTCTTGACCGGACAGATCTGCAAAGTCACTATCAAGATGGCACATTATCACCTTTGCTTTTCCAGTCAATGCTCTTCATTGGGGTGAGCCTATGCTCAGATACAGCGTTGGACACCACAGGCTTTAATAATCGCTACCAAGCCAAGGAAGTATTTTATCAACGAGCAAAGGATGTTTATGATTCCGGATGGGAGACCGACACAATCATAAAGTTGCAATCGTTGTTTCTCCTGAGCTTTTGGCGTGGAAGCCCAAACGAAGAACGTGATGTTCGTTTTTGGCTTGGAGCTGCCATCGGCCTTGCTCAAAAAAAGGAATGCATGTCATGTACGGCGTCTGCCTCATTTCATTGAAGATGAATATATGCTGACATGCATAGGTCTAAATTGTCCTTCCTCAATGCCAAAGACCAAAAGATTTGGAAACGGATCTGGTGGGCTTTATATGTACGCTTCTTGTTCCCCAATCCTTGTCTTCAAGATCATGAGATTAACATTTTATCAGGTCCGTGATCAACAAACATCTGCAGCGTTAGGGCTGCCACCTCGAATACGTGATGAAGACTGCCAAATCGCTGATCTTGAAGTCGCAGACTTTGAGGATAAAGAGCCGATGGGGCCTCCTGGAATATTCCGCACACCTCCAGGAGTCCACATTCCCTACGTTATTGGAATGGCTCAACTGGCTAGGCTATGTATGATATCCTGGAATATTGGTAGAATGACATTTGCTGACAGTTCTATTTTCAGTGCGGGAAATAGTCTGCAGCCAATATCTGCCTGGTCGACCGAAGTTGGATAATGAAGCTCGACCAATGCTCCGTCAACGCTTGGTTGACTGGGAGTCGCAGCTCCCGAAAGAAATGCAATTTCAAATGCCCATGAGCAGAGAGGCGATGTTCCTGGTTGGCATGCTTCACATGGCGTACAAGTATGCAGCGCTACGCTTGTAATAACCCGAGAGCCTTTTCAGCTGACATCCATACAGCAACTTGTACATTCTCCTCTACCGACCCCTTTTCCTCCAGCCCCCAGGCCAATCAATCAACCCGGAAGGAAACGTCGCCCTGGAAGCAGCAACACGAAGCACCCGCATTTTAGAGGACATGCTCTCAGAAAGCCTGGTCCAACATGGATCAGTTCACCTGTAAGTTCCAACAATCTCAAAAGTAAACTAAGACTAATCCCAAAGTAGAATCACCCACACCTTCTCGGCTTTATGTATACATACCATTCATTTTGGACGGGCCACGGGTACAGCCCGAAAGTTAGCAGAACACAGGGCAAAATTATGCCTATTGGGTTTGAAGGAATTACAGAAATCATGGGACTTGGAGAACTGGGTTCTGGATCTTTTCTTCCGGTGCTTGGATGATCGTACTGCTCGCGATCTTCGATTAGCCGATCCTTCAATGCCGTTATTCATACCACAGGGAGGCGGCGGTCGAAATATTGAGGAGATGTTGTCACCTGTGTCTCCTGCTAGTGGTTTATCTAAACCTCTCTCTCCCCACGCAGCGGGCGATCCCTTACACACCCCTAACACGATGCCTCACCATAACCCCGGAGAAGAGGCAGCAATCAATATGGACTGGTATGAACTGTTCAACGTGGAGGGTGACGATGTTATGGGCCTTGCTGGCTCATTATCAAACCCGGACTATTTGAACCCGCAGAATCTCGAATTTCTCTATCGGTTCCTATAGTGATACAAATTCAAACAATCTTCCTCTTACGAAGCCTGTCAAGCATATCGCCTATTAGCCGCAATAAAACTCATACTCGTAGGGCCTCATTTGACAATTCAGATACATCAAATCGTCTGTCTAAATTATTGGGCTCTTATAATATTGTTTGTACATGGGATCAATCTGACAGTCCAAGTTCAGCAAGAATGGCTTCATTGTGCTCTCCAATCTGTGGAATTGAACCCATCTGAGCGTTGTATCCACCCTTTTCAGCTGACTTGGTTGACCCAGGAGGCAAAAGAGCCGGAATGGCTCCCACAGGAGTTTGAACCTTGGTCCATCGATCTCGCGCTTGAAGCTGGGCATGGTCCCAGACATTTTTTATATCATTAACACTAGCGTTGGCGATTGACGCTTCGTCCAGTCGAGCGATTGTTTCTGCTGTCGTAAACTTCGCGAACACATTGTGAATGATAGATTTGAGCTCATCCCGATTTTGACTTCGTTGTGAGTTGGTCGAAAATCTAAGATCGGTGGCCAGATCTGGTTGTGAGAGGACGCCGTTACAGAAACCGGCCCATTCCCGCTCATTCTGAATGCCCAGCATAACCGACTGGCCATCACCAGCTTCGAACGGTCCATAAGGGTAGATGGCCGCATGCGAGGCACCTGCTGGTACTGGACCAGGAGCATTATCGAATCCATAGTACATGGGAAATCCCATCCATTCCACCATACTTTCTAGCATGGAGATGTCAATCTGGCAGCCCTGGCCATCTTTCCCACGCTGCAGTAATGCCGAAAGAATGTTACTGTAGGCGTACATTCCCGCAGCAATATCGGCGATGGAAATCCCAACCTTTACCGGCTCTTTTCCGGTGCCCGTGACGGACAGCATTCCAGCCTCACTCTGAATAAGAAGGTCGTAGGCTTTCTTGTCGCGATATGGACCATCTTGCCCATATCCAGAAATATCGCACACGATCAAACCAGGGTGTTTCTCTTTCAATGCCTCATGAGAAAGCCCCAGTCGCGCACTAGCGCCGGGAGCCAAGTTCTGAACGAGAACATCTGTCTTCTCGAGGAGCTTCATCAGGACAGCATGGTCCTTTCCTCGTTTGAGGTCCAGAGCTAAACTCTCTTTAGAGCGGTTCGTCCATACGAAATGTGATGCTAGACCATCGACTCGCTTGTCATAATGTCGTGCAAAGTCTCCAACGCCTGGTCGTTCGATCTTGATGACTCGAGCTCCAAGATCGGCAAGTTGTCGCGTGCAAAAGGGCGCAGCAATAGCTTGCTCGAGACTAACCACGGTAATTCCAGCAAGAGGCCGAGGCCTGTGTCCACCGGGGGATGCGTTGGAGTAAAGCCGCGATGTGAGATATGATCTTCTTGCAGGTTGAATTGCGCCCGACAGTGGTTTTGGCCGAGAAGCAAGTGAAAGGAATGGTCTCATTATGACCTGGATATGAATTGGCCGATATTGGATTGAAATTGGATTACAGACCCAGGTACTCCGTAGCTGCCTTGCATATATAGAAGATTGATCTGAAGTTTTGAGTTCCCCAATCCCCAAATAATCGCGGGGGAGAGACCTCGGTCGAAATGCCGATCTACATGGAGGACATGCCAAGCCCGATGAGTCGGCTATATGCTCAAATGGGACACTGACAGGTTAGAAGCTGGAGATGCAGATCAGATTGAGACCCTTTCTGCCTCAGGTTGATAGGACCTCGCTCCCCACCTTGATCTTCCTTTTCTTTCTCCTAGCTGAATGCAACCAATGGTTTCCTTCCCTCAATACAGATACCACAGGATTGGAGTACTCCGGCCTAGGCCCCTTGTGTAGAGGCTGAGGCTTCAGTGTCACTGTCGGGCTTGGAATCTCAAAGCCAAGTTTGCTTTCTACAAATCATCATCTTGGCTGCCACTATTTTTGAATATTCAAACAGGAAGGATATCTCACAGTAAAGACAAGAAAAAATGTCCAGCAAACCGAATGATACACACCGAAATAAATGCTAAGTGAAGTCTGAGGCCTGGTGACCGGAATGTCTATACCAAAATCTCAGACTATTAACAAGCAGGTCAACATCAACAAGGTCCTGGTTAGAAGGTGACGGCCATGACACATCTCAAGGTCACGAAGTTCCAACGCAAATACCCCTGTCTCTCGCCAAGATCCGATGCTTACGCCAAGCACTAAGGAAACCCACGCGAGGCGCCCAATGCGCGTCGGGGAAATTGCTGGTCCATGCGAGTTGAGTTGCGGGGGCCCCCTGCAACGCCTCGTATTCTCGCAATGTGTCCCCTTTTGCACCTACCCCATACAATATAAACGTCCAAATACGATCCCGATCAGACAGTATTGATGGTTGGTGTTCCACGCAGCAAAGGCTGCGTGGCATGTCTCCAGCGGCGGGTCAAAGTACGAAATGCTCCAGTCACACGCTTTTTCTTTTTTGAAGGTAACACTCTAATCAAGGGTGCAGTGTGATGAAGCCCAGCCAGGATGTCAATCCTGCGAAAAAAGAGGGAACCCATGTCCTGGCTACAGAAGGAACTGGAAGTTCTACCATTTCTCGGCATGCAGTCAAAACGAGCCCTCGAAATTTACATCCTCGCCGACACAATCATCAAACACGGCACTAGTCACTGCACAAGAAGCAGAGCAATACACCTTTCCCCATGCATCTATGGACGAGGCTATAATGCCAGGATTGGTTTCCAAGGCGATTGACCGACAATGCAGGAGAGGATTTTGCGATTTCGTGGATGCTGTATTTCCGAATATCTATTACAGCTACAGCACTCGGGTGGAGCTTACTTGGTTCGAAATCGCTCATAAGGACCAAAGCGCAGAAAATGCATTGCAGTGGGCGTTTCGCAGCCTTGGAGCCTTGCAGCTCGGCAGAGTAGATGGCAATCAACGACAGATTCTCGCTAGTCAGGAAATGTACGGCCGTGCGTTGCGCCAGCTTGTTAAAGCGATCAAGAATCCTGCCACAGTTGGCAAGAATGAGACCCTTGGAGCCGCGGTCCTGCTAGGAGTTTATGAGTTGATGAATGCAACAGAGGAGAACTCATGGCTGCTGCATTCAAATGGGATCTCTCATCTATTGCGTCTCAGGGGGGCAAAGAGGCATACAAGTGGGTATGGGCGTACCCTGCTTTTATCCTTTCGGGGACTCCTAGTTTATGAAGCCTTCACTCGGGGCGAGGCATGTTTCCTAGAAAACGAGGAATGGAGGTCAGCTCTTCCATTGACACTAGAGGACGAGGAACGGCGTGGCACAAGCTGCGGTCTAGGCCAGCTCACGGACTATGCATTCAATGAGATAGTCCGGTGTCCGGGGTTTCTTGCCAAGACCAAGGCCCTAGTCGCTTCCCCAAGAACCACCAATGCGGCTAGAGACAACCTAATGGATGCAATCAACATCAGCCGGAAGATCCTGGGCGATGTGGAAATCCAAATAATGGCAGGTGTTAAGGCTGATCGCGAGGGGAATAAGAAAGAGTCTCAGGCTTTCTTTGGATTGATTCCCCTTTCCACCCAAGATGCATCGGTGAACTACACACTGGAGGGTGTTCAATCGGCCATCGCACTTCTCCGACAGTTGTCGGTTTTGCTGGTGTCCGATCGCAGCCGACAGAAAATAGTAACACCGTGGTTAAAACTAGGTCCATGTAGGTATGACCAGAGGGTCATAAAAGACACTGGTGAAATTGCCCAGCTGGCTCAAGAAGGTACTCGACTACACCCAACAGGTCCACGGCAACAGGGTAACCCGAAGATCTGGCATGACCGGATCGCCATGACAATGGGCATGCCAGACAATGGTTGACCAAACTCCTCATAGTCTATCCATCTGGCCTTGATCTGAACGGAGTTCATGCGCTTGCAAGTTAGTTTATTTCGTTGCATGAATTTGCTCCGGGTTGAATTAAGAACTAAACTCTGTGCCTAAGCGTTATTCAAGTGACATTCCGAGATCTAGGCGCCGCGTCTATATTTTTTGTGACTCGTCAAATTATCCTGAAAAGGTATAAGGGCTGAAAGCGATCGTACTGCACATGGGTTGTGATAAGAAACCGAGTAGTCACGGGAATGCGGTCATGTGTTGGTGATGAACCCTATGCGTCACCTTTAACGGGAAATGACATTATCGCAGTCCACATGGGGATGAGGTCCACTTTTACAAATGAATCTGGAGTAAGAAAAGAAACAGAATGTTCGATGTCTGGAATGCTGGGGGGTACTTTGTATTTCGAATCCGGCGATCACCGGAAAAAGGAGGGCTGTGACATTGGCGTGAAGTAATGCATTGTTCTTTTATGTACGGAATACACCATATGTATTATTTTATTCAATTGCCCCACTGGATCGGATTTAATCTCCAATTATATTAATTGCGCTGCCTGGTTTCCCTTGTGTCTTACACACTGAATCGAGGTCTGGTCACAATGGCCCGATATTCAGCGTAAATCTAACATCTTAGTGATGTTGTGTAAGGCACTTAAGTTGGTCCATTTCATGCCCTTCATGTTGTTCAAGTGACCATGAGACCGTATAGTCGTGGAACATGCTTTACAGATAGGATGTTAGAGCTAACAATGCCATGTAAAACCATGTGAAATCCGGATGGCATAGATCATGGCCATTACCGTAGGGTGTGATTGATTGTTCCTGGAGGAAGAATGCTGGGACGCTCCTGTCACATTTTCGAAACCGGCGATCATCCCCACCGGGGCAAGTCGTCATACCTCAATTTGTATGGAGTACTCCGTACTTACATACAATACACCAATCCCTTACGCCTGTACAATTACACTTTGGCGATGCACGTCTTCCTGGCTAATGTATGATTACTCGAAAACACAATAGCACACGGGTACCTGAAGCGGCTGGAGCGGGCCAAGATTCCCGCCACCGTGCTTGCGTGGCCCCCGAAGGGCTCATTCATTGGGATTGGCCACAATGAATGCTAAGCATTCTGTCGGCAACTAATCGAAGCTTGGCTGGCCATTGAGAATGCTACGGATGGACCCCAACGTCATACAAAATTGGCTTTTAGCGACAAGTCGCGTATAGTTGCCGATCACGATCGGCCCAATCACCATCTGAACTGATCCACAGGTGTTGCCACGGCTTGCGTGATATTACTGATGTTTCGAGCAAGGCCGTCTATTCTTAGCTTCCCGAGTTTGCACATGAGAAAAGTGACAAGGGATATATATAGGATCAAATTCGCCTCCCGGCTAGATACCACATTACTAGACATCCCATCAACCTAGAATCTCACCACACTACGGAGTATTTTGATATACATTGTACACATTTTTCAAATCAATTTCCACAATCAAGAATACATTCACAATAATGCCGTCCTCATTGGCTTCCAGCGAGCGCTCTGGCTCGGTCAAGTCGCACCACAGTCCCAAGACTTCTCTTCAAACCAAGGCCGACCCCAACATGGCCCTACACGAACAAGAACCTAGTGTGTATCCCCTCAACAGTGATCCGTCTTAATCAGGGATACCCCACTGACAACTAGCAGCCGCTGTGAACCTCCAACCTGGCTCTAGGGACACATTCTCACTCCGAAGCATCCAGCACAAGGACCGGGAAGGAAAGCTCATCAGTAAGTCACCAGTTACACTGACTTTTGAGGGAACTGCATATTAACCTAGCGATAGCCGATCCCGATCTCTCCAACCCCACACGCAGCCGCCTTGAGCGCCCGCTCGATACTATCCGATCGTTTGATGCAGCCATCGACGCACATCGCAAACAGCAACGGATGTGAAGGAGAAATCGAGGCCAAATGGTTACACCAGAACGAAACGAAGGAACGCTTTTTAATGCCAATCTCAATTCGAACACGGGGTGTGTATAATTATTGTTTTATAACGGAGTCACATGGAGATATCAACATTCGATGCTATTTTGTTTGGAACCTTCTATTTCTTGGTAGTGTAGTACTTTGTAAATGAAGATGGGCGAGTGTAGTAGAAGTTCGGTCTCTAGTATAGATGGCCATTGCCATTGGGCCAGACACCGGGGTTTGAAATGCACATACTCCGTAAATCGGTTGAAATTACTTGACGAATCCATGATAGATGCAGGTACAGGCTTGGTAAACTGGGGTTCTCCACATATCTAAAAGCATGATTACCACTTGGGTGAATCAAAAAGAAAGCTATAGAACATTAAGCTATGGGTTCCCATGATATACGTGATCAGCACTGTATGTATCACCATAGTGACTTTGATATTGTGAAGTTGTATAGAACAAAGTTTATCGGAAGCTGAAATTGCAGGCATGACCGAACGTAGAATCGGAAGACCGATTTGATCTACATGCAGATCTTTCTTAGACTGAAGTGGCCTGAACTATATATCCTTAAAAGATACTCTATGGAGGGATCCATTACAATTAAGTTATTATTGGCCTATTATTTTCCATATTCATCTCGACTGCAATTTTTAGGCCTTTGTGCAAATCACAAAAGGTACAATGCATATATATGTGCTACATAAATACCGAAATAGATTTGTGGACCATTCGGAGTTAAATCATCTAATCTAACGGACAGTTTTGGCTACACTCCTACCAAGCAATGCCGCAGAGAGACTATAACTGATTATAACTCCAGAAAAAAGAGCTAGCGCGAAATAAAATTAGATATCTCAACAAAGTGTTCGCGGAAAAAAAAAAAAAACAGAAAGCCACTAAATGCCGGCGCCATCCTAAGCCCCACCACCCACCGCGTCAGCCGGATGTTTTCACTTTTTTTTTTCACTTGAAGGAATTAGAGAATATACTATTAATGTATAGAGATAGGTCTTTTGATGGTTGCCTATTTTCATGGGGAACTGAAGAACTGTATATATTTTTTTTTGCCGATCAAAGAACTGCAGAATAAAAAGCCAAATTCCATTAAGTACGTGGAGTCCGTTCATCTTTCTATTATGATTCGCTCGGGATATATGAACGGATCCCCTTTCGAGCCCTAATAATGCTTTTTTGAGAGCCCAGCTCCGGGCCAAATTGACATGGCGCCAGTGGGCTAAACCTATTGAACGATGGCTTCAAAGCACTTGACCATATTGGGATTGCTCGGCTATACGCGTCTTTTTTGTGATTTCAGGCAAATAGAATGGGACTATTTTGAGACTAGTCTTACTATTAATCTCATGGATTTGAAGCCATGAATCCCCCCATCCTGGATCTTGTTCTCCTTTCGCCGTTCACTCGTTTGACTTCTTTATTCTCTCTCTATTCCTTTGAATTCAATTATTCCAACTATATACACTCGCTATCTTTGCAGCCTCAAGGTCTGCAAACCAAATCATGAAGTTCTCCTTGGTGGCACTGGCAACCCTGGCCGGGGTTGCTGCTGCCGATTTGGATCCCATCATCATCAAGGTATGATCTCGATACATGTATAACCCCTATGTATATTAGGTACTGAGACTGCCAATAGGGCTCCAAGTTCTTCTACTCCAGCAATGACACTCAGTTGTAAGTCCGAATATTCCGAGATCTCGTGAATCTGACTGACATCAACAGCTTTATGCGTGGAGTCGCCTACCAACGTAGGTTGTCTATGCCATCATTTTAACGCCTCGATTAACCTTGCGCAGAAGAAAGTACGGGTAGCAGTAGCTACACTGACCCTCTAGCCGATCCTGTCGCTTGTGCGCGTGATGTTCCTATCATGGCCGAGCTGCGTACCAACGTTATCCGTACCTACGCCATCAACGCCTCTGCTGATCACTCCGCGTGTATGAAGCTCCTGTCGGATGCTGGTATTTACGTGATCTCCGATCTGTCAGACCCCACACTATCAATTGATCGCAGTGATCCATCATGGGAAACCGATCTTTTCGCCCGATACGCCAGCGTTGTCGACGAACTGGCCCAGTACAACAACACTATTGGTTTCTTCGCTGGAAATGAGGTTTCCAACACCGTCTCTACCTCTGACGCTAGCGCTTTCGTCAAGGCTGCCGTTCGTGACACCAAGAAGTACATCAAGAAGAAGGGCTACCGCCCTATGGGTGTTGGATATGCTACCGCCGATGTGTCTGACATCCGTGCAAATATGGCCGACTACTTCGACTGCGGAGACTCCGACGATATTATTGACTTCTGGGGATACAACATCTACTCGTGGTGTGGTGAATCGACCTACGCAAAATCTAAATACCAGGATCGCACCGAGGAATTCGCCAACTATGCCGTCCCTGTCTTCTTCGCTGAGTACGGTTGCAACGAGGTCCAACCCCGCAAGTTCACCGAGGTGAACGCCCTGTATGGCGATACCATGGCTGAGGTCTGGTCCGGTGGTATTGTGTACATGTACTTCCAGGAGGCCAACAACTACGGTAACAAGCCCCCCATTCCTTCCCCATATATATGTGGACGTAACTGATCAGACTTGTAGGTCTGGTTTCCGTTGTTGATAGCACCAGTGTCAGCACCATGTCCGACTTCAAATACTACTCCAGCCAGATCGCCAAAGCCACCCCCACTGGTGTCAAGAAGGCCTCCTACACTCCCACCAATACCGCCCTGCGAAGCTGCCCTACCGTCGGATCCAAGTGGGCCGCCGAAGCCTCCCCTCTGCCCCCTATCGCCGATATCAACCTGTGCGGCTGCATGTACGATGCCTCCGCCTGCGTGGTCACCGAATCCCTCGACTCAAATAGATACGCCAAGCTGTTCAGCACCGTCTGCGGCTACACCGACTGCAGCGGACTGACAGCTAATGCCACTACCGGCGAGTACGGTGCCTACAGCATGTGCACGACCAAGCAGCAGCTTGCCTTTGCTCTGAACAAGTACTACGTTGAGCAGAACCGTGCTGCCGATGCTTGCAAGTTCGCCGGATCTGCAACTGTCAAGCCCGTTATTAAGGCCACCGGCATTTGCGCTACACAGATGAAGGAGGCTGGAACTGCAGGAGTCGGAACTGTTACTACCGAGAACACTAGCACCGATCACTCTAGCTCTGGATCTGGCTCTGGCTCTGGCTCTGGCTCTGGCTCTGGCTCTGGCTCTAGTTCTGCTTCCTCGTCGGCTTCGGCGACCACGTCTAGCAGCAGTGCTATCAGCATGCACGCCAGCTCATCCTTCGGCTCTTTCCAGATAGCTGCTTCCATTGCCACCGCACTCCTGGCGGGTGTTGGAATGGTCGCTCTGTAATTAAGACCATCTTGATTCGTGTATATTCTTCGCGTTTGGACCATGTGTCTGTTTTTCTTTTTTATTCCGACATTTTTGAACATAAAGCTCAAAGCAAGGCATGTTCGACATAGCGACGACATATCCTTGCTCGCATCTTTGATCGATTGTTATTGGTTGAAAGAAGTTGATATTTTATTAAATTTGATTTGTATACCATTTGTTCGCGGATTTTGTCCTTGCTTTTTAGCAATATGCATTCTTTTCAATTCTTCGAAGATAACCTTTTGATAGAAGACTTTTACTTGCCCCCATTGAGTCGGTCCCATCTGCACTCGTGAATCAATGACCTCCAGGTTGTCTTCGAGTGCGAACGCGGCGCCAAGTGGCCCCGGCGTCTAGAGGCACCTGATACAAATGGCAATCTTGGATGTGGACCGCACGGCCTCGGCCCCTTTCACTTTCGGTCTGAAATGTCCCGAATGTCCGTAAATGCCTTAGATCACTGCGGCGCCAGCGGTCTTAGATCGAACTCAACTTGGCCAACGTTGCCAAGTTGAGTTCAGGGCTCCCTCAAGGGGTAGCCTAGAGCGCAAGACTGACATTGGTTACTATTCTGGGCTCGCAACAGTAATGTATTTAGATGTCACAGGTGGGTTGCTTCAGTCCCGAGGGCTTATAGTTGTTTGCCAGAAAGACATAGTCTCTCTTTTCTTATTTCTATCTCTTTACTATCTCTCCTCTAGCATTCTAATGGAACCTATGGATCTGCTCACTATTTCCTTCTGTTCAGAATTAATGTTTGTCATGTCTAGATATGTGAGGGCAGTCACCAGGCTTCAAAACTAGTTGATAATCGAGATTTATATATATCATTTGGTAAAGTACTTATTTAAATCGAAATGAATCACCACTCGATTCTTGCCATGTCATATCCCGCTGAACTCGAATGGAATTCAACGGCACCTCATCCCCAGATGCATCGTCGGCTTGGGACACATCCAGGTGAGTTTTAGTTTTATTACGCGGCTCATCAGATGGTCGTAGGGCAGAATTGTCCAATTCATAACCTTTAGAGTTCTCGAGATCTGCTGTTCGTGTTCTCTGGGTACCAGACTGGCTGGAGAATTTGGATGAAACCATCAAGAACAACGGGCGTAGGGTCGGCATGCAAGCGGAGATAATTCCCGTTGAGCATTCCACGACACACCAGGTGCAGGACTTTCCGAGTGTCCAAGCAATGTCCGCCGGATTGAAATCAAACAGGGTAGTGAAGCGATATACACTGGTAAAGATAACGCTGTGCGGAAGAGCCTAGTTAGTCTATTGTTGCAAAGCAGCAGGAAGCTATAGGGAAGGGGTGTACTAACAAACTACCCAAGAGAAAGATTCCAATTACGGACAGCCGGTGCGTAAGGCTTGCGTGCAGTCCCCACACCACCCGCACCGGCAGAGACAGAATGAGAATATCGGTGACAACATTGGGTACTGCATTTCCAATGAACGAGGCTTTGAGATCGATACAGGTACCGGGGATGCGAGTGTCCCAGGCTCGTGCAATCGGAGTGCATTGGAAGATGCTCACGAAAATGATAGCAACGGCCCACGCGAGCGATATCCCACCCAAGATCATGGAGGCAGTCCGGATTTCTTTCGTGGGAAAGATGCGACAATACATGAGCAAGATAGAAACTTTGGTGACTGCTATTGTTGTGACATATATGCACTCGAACACTACCAAGAGCTATATGGATGTCAGCGGAGGCGTCAACTTCACCTTCTGATATTCGAATCGAACCTTTGCAATCATCATGATATTTTCCATCGGCAAGATCTCAGAATGTAATCCCATGCCATAGTTAGTTACTATTGACGATTAGCATCAGAATCAAAAACCAAGGCAAAGGATGTATCGTACATGCTAGCATCAAGCCAACAAGAGTTAATAGAGGAAGCAAAGCGGCCATGATCATATAATCATCCCAGCCTGGCTTCAATGACTTCTTCCACCGTGCCAAAAGCCGTAGAATGACGAACAGGACGCCCAGGACAGTCATCGCGATTGTCCCGGCCCGATAGGACCCTTGGTAGCTATCCTGGGCATTGATTGTGGCCATCGTATATAGACCTGCAAAACGGATCGAAACATCGTTCGAAGATGGAGCGACAATGGTGTATTTAAAGAGAATGAATTCCCTCCATGCCCCCAAGACAGAGAGAAGATCCACCTTTGGCTGTCAGAAGGATTCATGCTTACCCACAATTGAGCGACAGACCGTATACCTAAAATGGGTAAAATGTTGGCGTGAGGAATCAAATCCCTATTTTACCATTGGAACCTGGTCGGTAACGAAATTCGAGGTGTTTTGGTGGATCATAAAATAGGGCTGGGCCTGTTTATCTTTCGGCCCTAGGGGATTGATTCATGCTATTACTCCGGTTGCTGGTATATTCATTAGTTTAATATTTATTTTAAGGTTCTGTCAGCTACGTGCAGGGGTTAGATGCAGGGGTTAGATGCAGGGGTTATTATGCTTATGCTTCTTAGACTCAACGCCTTCTAAATTCTCGTGCAAGCTTAATATCACACCAATGGAAGTTATAGTAATGGGAATTGAGCCAGTCTGGTTCTAATCAACTTTTGCACTTGTGAATAAATAACCAAATAGGTAGGAGGGCATAACCATTTGAAAGGAGAAGAAATCCTGTTTTCTTTTCTTTTACCGCTAGATGGCAGACCAGGAGCTGGGGACTCCGGATACATATTCTTCATATGACATATGATCTACATGTCAATTTCCCATAGCAAATCATAAACAAGAGACCAAGACCCGAAAAAACGGAACAGAAGAACAACGACCTTCTTCAATCCTTGCGGTGGAATGTCCGTCTAGCCCAATGTGGATCGGGGGCTTGAAAGTTGCTGGCTATGGCTGGCTATAGCTATAGCCGACTACCGCGTGGAGACCGATTCAAACACCAATCGGAGCCCTTTGGTGCAATTTCCGGCCGCTCTAACGGTTTTGCTAGAGACACGGGGAGCCTATAGCAAGGCGAGCCTCTGCCGAGCTCCACCGTTGGCGTCAAACAGCCGAAATCCTTCGGGGAAAATAATTGTAACAATAGATCAAAAGAGCCAATCGTTCCACGTGTTGAGAAATTGCGGGCCCACCGATAACATGCCCAGTTTAGTATAAGGAGAGGATGATCGTTTCGCCGGCATTTGGCTGTCCCCGGTTAAACTTAGTTGTGATCCCCCTCAAAACAGATAACTGCAAGATATTCAAGATGAACATGGCCGAGAACCCGGTTTTTGTCTTCGTACCAGGCGCATGGCATGCGGCAGACACATTCGACGTCGTGCGGGATTTGATGCACAAGCGCGGACTTGCAACCGAAGCTATCTCCACTCCCTCCGTGGGCGCATGCACTCCAGATAAGGGGCTGCACGCGGACATTGAACATACTCATGCTGTCCTCAAGGAGATGGTAGAAGCTGGTCGCCAAATTGTGGTGGTGAATCATTCCTATGGCGGGATAGTTGGTGCCGGAGCTGTCGAGGGCCTGGGGTACGTGCAGCGTTGCAAATGCAGTCTTCCTGGCGGCGTGCTCATGGTAGTATGGCTGGCTGCATTTGTAACTCCAAAGGGCAAAACTGTAATGGACATGCTGGGTGGAAACTTGCCTCCCTGGATGCTCATCAAGGTGAGTGGTGTATCTTTGGTTTCCGTGTTTTATTCGCCATTGACCAACGACATATAGAGCCCTGAGGATGGTTACTGCTGGTCCTCTGAAGAAGATACCGTGTTCTACAATGACATGGCTCCAGAAGAACAGCAGAAGGCGATTTCCAAATTGAAGCCGCACACGCTAAAGGCGTTCCATGAGCCGGCGATGCATGAACCTTGGCATGAGATACCTAGCATGTATCTGTTCTGCGACCAGGATGCAGCTATCCCTTTGCCTGTGCAAGAGAGTTTTGCTGAAACTTTAGGTAACCCAGTGACTTACCATCTCGATGCGTCTCACTCGGCATTCCTGAGCAAGCCAGACAAGGTGATTGATGGGTTGGAGATTGCGTTGAAGGAGGGTCGACAGCAGAGTGGAATTGCTGTGAACTAAGCTGGGTGATGCATTATAGCAGTCAACCATTGGATCGTGTATTTGTAAACGAGACTAATGGTGTAATGGGTTGAAGTAGATATGCTATGGAACTGAGTCCAAATAATTTCGCGCATGGAAGATAATCTAGGGTTTCTTAATCAGTATTTCTTGCAAAGGTCTACCATTAAATGGTAATCTCACGCAGCATCAATGCATACTACCTGGGCAACCTTAGACCTCCATTTTCGGTGATCAGTGCTTTCAGGTATAGAGAGAGAGATGAAATCGTCATGCTCATGGGATCCATCGAAGGCCGGAAGAGGGAACGGGGAAAGGTCAGAACATTCTTTTTGCCTGATTATATATCATGAGACTAGATAATTAATGCAATACGAGAAAGTTCGTCCAATCTAGACGCAGGGCAGATTTATATATTTTTTTGTCAATCTTTTCTTTTTGGTTTTCCATCCTAGAGTCCCATAACAAGTTTCCAATCACCAGCTAAGGTTAAAAGAGGCAAATTTTCCGTCATGACCATCTCAGCAGTTCCATTTCCAGGCAAAATAGCATACCCTCGCTAAACGAGGTGGACCAAGCCAATCCTATGTACGCATGTTGGAAACTACCTCACTTTCAAGAGTTGCTAGACTCATGGAAGTACTCAGCTGGGGCAGGGGGAGGGGTGTGCACAGCATAACCATTACCACTGTTGTAGTACGTGCTGCCGTCGGGGTTCGAATAGTAGTAGGAACCATCCCTATTTTAATCGAAACCGTATGTCAGTCAAATGCAGACACCAGAAGATACAGGTATCACTTACTGGTTGGAATAATGATAGGAATTGGAGTTCAACACTCCCAAGCCGTAGTCACGGGAACAGTAGTGATTGCCCTAAAGATCAGTCAGGAGTAGATTGAGATGATTATTGGTTTACTTACCTCACTGTTAGCACCGCAGCTCTTGTAAGAGTACCATTTATCGTAGTTATCGTAAGGCATGGCGGTTGTCTGAGTTTGGGTTTTTGCAACAGAAGTGTGATGAGTTGAATAACCCGAGAAACCAACAGATGAAGAGAAGAAACAGGAACAAGATGAGGTATGGAGGGATCGAAAGTCACTTGTATAGAACACCTTTGCTACGTAATGATGAGTCGTCTACTCTAATAGATATATATCTATAAACATCTTCGTGACTCTTAGACTCCAACAGTTAACATCAGAATATTCCTATTGCCCTTTCGTAGACTTGAAGAGAGGAGGTGGGAGCGTATTTTCGATTCTTACTTCACATGAGAAATGACACTGCCCTGATTGAATGAATGGGCTTTTGGCTTGGCTCTTGACCTTTGGCGCATTTCCTCTTGCATCCCCGTCAACTTGCCATTTGATTAAGCTGTCGGATTGCGTACGGGCGATGAGCTTCTTATTTTCATTCTTTTCCAGTGTTAACCATTTGACTTAGCTCTAAAACCGTAATTTTCGAAATTTATTGAGTTTCCACAGGCCATACTTTGCGATGGTGACCGTTCCCATCACGCATGCTCCAACAAGGATTGCAAATGCCGATGTACTCTCTTCAAAGAAGTTCGCCACATTCATTCCAAACAGACCCGCCACAAAAGTTGACACAGCAAATCCCAACATACAGATCTCCAGTTGAGCCTCAAAAACTAGAATCTGATTTCGTCGCACATCCAAGATCGACTGAATAGTTTCTGTCGTGCGCTCCAAATCGCCCAGTAAAGCACTGGCAGACTGCGCGATCGCGTCTGTGTTCTTGTAATATGCCTCAAGGAGATATTCCACTTCTAGGTGATCTTCTGCCTCATGCGGGTGACCTGCATGCTTATCCGTCAAGTACATGGTCGCCATATCTTCATCATTTTCGAGGATTTCCCGTAGCGCCGAGCGGAATTGGTGGGCACGTTGTTCAATAGCCACGAGTCTTTTCCGGTGATCCTGCAAACCGCGGAGAACAGAGTAAACAACATCTTCTCTTGTTGAATCCCGCAAGCTGTCTTCAACTTCACGGCGGATGAGAACATGCTCGGCTTCAAGTGTTGCAATGACAGAGGCAAGCGCTGCATCCACCACACGTAGCTCAAATGGGAGTTTTGTCAAAAGGCCAGAGCCAGGACTGGGTTTGAGTCTACCCTGCAGGTCCGTCATAAAAACATCCTGCACCTTCACATGACAATCCTCAATTGGGAGAAGAAAAAGTAGAACTCCATCTGCGCGGACCAGTAGTCGTAAAGTGAACATGCTGATAAAGATGACAGACGGACGGACCATCAAATGGGGGATTCCCTCTGAGACAAGATCCACGTTACGCAAATCGCGGCCATCTAATCCCCACTTTTTAGCAAGATCATCCCTAGTTGCTTGAATCTCAGATTCTGTGACAGACCCATCAACACCCAAGACCATGCAGCGCAACTCTGTCGCATCATTTATGCGACTTTGCGACAGAGCAAGAGACAAGTTGAAGACATTTTGATTAAAAGAAGATTCCTTTTCCATGTCATGCTCATGTATGACATGATGAGATTTATTAGGAAGCGTGATGATTCCCCGTCTGCTGGGGATGTTCTGGATATTGGGCCGTTTCATACGGAGAGTGCCGGAAAGGCGATGGAATCGGTGGGGTTGTCTGCTTGTACATTTTGACAGTCCCTGTCTTCGGAAAAAAGGTAAGAAAGCCCTCACAGTATGCCGTTGCATGATATATATTGTCTTTGGTCGTTGCAAGTATAAATAGAGTAGAGTTGGATGTCAATAGACTAATTGGGTTAATGTGGCTTGGCGACCCATGTGGCTAAGATTGTGGCTTCATTGCTTGAGAATACCAGGGGAGGTTGAGATCTTAATATTATAAAAGAATACAAACAGAGGAGAATACTAAGATGATTTACTAGATAAACAGGCAAGATCTTCCGAAATGGGAGATACATCAGGTACGACAGTGTTGGAAACCAAAAGGATATATACAATACTGTAGTAGTATTTTACAACTCCTTCGAAACAAAGTATGCTTGATTCTGCAGTTTTTGCATGACTCTCTTGGGATCATACTTTTTCGCCACGGTGTTAATATACTTGAGATTCTTTTCCCCAAAGGACTGCAGGGGCTTTTGGTTGGGACCCGCGTCGTTGACGAAGATATACGAGAGCAAAAGACCCTGTGACTTTGCGCTGGAGGTAAGACTGGCAAGCAATGAGTCCACCGTACCCGTCACCATCGATTGGCTGGGTGTCGGTGGGAACTGAGCGAATATATTAACCCCTGTATGAGATGTTGATCAGAGATGTTTACCAGATGGAGATATAGATACAAGGGGACACGTACAGACCTGAGGTGTGGCCTCCAGACCTAGCAAATTTCCTCCATTTTGGGACTTGCCTTGGGTCACTAAGTTCGGAATGACACCTTGAGGCACGTAGGAGAGTACCGCACCTGAAGGCATAGAGGAAGCGGCTTCGAGATAGGTCGAATACGTATCCTGCAAGAATGTCGGCCCCGTCACCTTAAATGTGAACGTACCGCCGTAGGATACACCCTCGGTAGTCAGTCCGGCGGAGCCAATCGTGAGGAGAAGCTCACTGAGCGACCCGTTTGTCGGTGGATACAATGTAGAGGCCACGGGGATGTCAGCGAATGGATCAAAGGCTGCAGGCGTGGATACATGGCCAATATATCCGTAGAAGACCAAGGTATAGTTGGGGTTAATCTGAATTTCCACATTGCTGTTGATATCCGCATCCAAAAGATACGTCGCGTAGGCCGTAAGCACGGCGGGTGTGTTGGCAACAGTGTAGGTGTTTATTTCGTAGTAGGCATCGATGCCGGTATTGGTAGTGAGATCATATTCAGTCACGATGCCTGGGCCGGTTAGTCGGGGGAACAATTGTTGGATAATATTCAGTCTCACCGAAGTTGTTCAGACCTCCCTTTAGGCCTTTATATAGATCGGCATGCTCGGTTGAAGTGGCATTGACAATATTTCCATTGGGAAGTACCACCTGAAATCGGGTGACGCTGTCAATAGCCAATCCGTGGGTGTTGTAGAAAGTGCTGAGACCACCTGACTTTGTCAATGTTGTTCATCTAAGAGTCCAAATAGGATTTATTCACTCACCACCAAGAATGTATCCGCCAACGCCTACAACCGCTTCACGACCACCCAAGACCGTGACATTATACGACTGGAGGTACTTGTATACAGACTGCCATCTATTACCAGGGCCGACAGTGACAGTTCCACGATCAGCGCTTATGGAAATGGTGTTCAACTTCTCGAGAGTGATCAACACCCCGTTGCGACCGATTGAACTGAATCCAGGGTTAATATTGTGTCCACCGGAACGAATGGCAAATTTGGTATCTAGAGAACCGAGGATCTGCAACAAGCGCGAGACCTCATGGGCGGAATCAGGCGTTACAACGCAGGACGCATTCAATCGGCAATTCTGCGACCAGGCTTCGTCGATCAAAACATCATAGTAGGGCGAGGTCACTGTGAAGGTCTCATTTTTGGGAAAGGCATGATTCAAGAGGCTACAGGTGAACCCGGCATTTCCGACGAGAACATCGCCAGCTGGAAGAGAAACACCCAGCGAGGAGAGAGCAGCAGCAGCAGCCGAGGATCGAGTTGGGATAGAGGTTGCGGTCGCTGTGACCAACACACCGATAATGACCTTTATAATAGAGGTAATCCTGGCCATGTTGATCGGTGTTAATTGACTGGGTTGCAGTTCATGCGCGTTGGCGGCCCTTTATGGATCTACAGTCCGCCATCTCGGAGGGACCTTATATGGATCGTACAGTTTTAAACCGATAGCAACACAGAGCGTTCTTCGTTTCCTTTTCTTTTTCTCATGCCCGAGTTCGAAGACGGAGTGATCGATATCCCTCTGACTAGGGATGCGCCTCTCGGACTACCGATTTGGCTCGGCCGACGGACTGGGATGATCCTCACTCTGTATGATATCCATCGTTGAAATGATATATGTGGGACTAAGAGCACACATAACCAATTCATCTCTCTCAACTATTATACATTCAGCAATTTGAACAAAATGCGTTTCTTTGCGCTCGAGGAGTGGGCAGCCGCCAATCGCGACTACAACGATACCCCGGCGCCCTACTGGCATGCGAAGTCTGTACCCGATGGCTTCACCGCCATCTCAGGAATCCTATGGTCCATCTCGTACATCTTGATGGCCAAAAAGGCTTTCAAGGATCGTTCCTACGCAATGCCTCTTCATTGTCTCTGCTTGAACATCACCTGGGAAGCAGTTTACGGGTTTGTCTACGGCCCAGGACTACTGAATCAGGTCGTGTTCGCCCAATGGATGGTTGTCGATGTGGTCCTCTTCTACGCAATACTTCGATCGGCCCCGTATGCCTGGAAGCAGTCACCGCTGGTAGCACATCATCTCGCAGGTATAATCGTCGTCGGATGCATAATCTGTCTGTGGCTGCACCTGGCGATCGCGGCCACGTTTATCCCGAGCATTGGTCGACAGGTTGTGTTCATGACTGCATGGCCCATGCAGGTTCTTATCAATTTCAGCTCCATTGCGCAGCTACTGTCGCGTGGAAACATCCTCGGCCATTCTTGGGGAATTTGGTGAGTGGATAGATCTTTGGTATAGTCACCTTAATTTGGCGCTCACAGCAAGATCAGGTGGACAAGAATGCTGGGCACTTTGGCAGCTGCTTGTTGCTTCTTTTGGCGTGTGTACTACTGGCCGGAACGATTTGGATATGCGTGGAGCCCTTACGGACAGTTTTTGCTGCTGGGTAGTGTCGGGTCTGACATTGTATATGCTGTGGTCTACATCTATGTTCAAAGTTTTCAGAAACAGATGGAATCTCCGACTAACATCAAGGGGAAGAAATCTCGCTGATAAGGAGTACAGAGTAGCATTGGCACAAGATAGTGGCAATGAAAAAGAATTGAGGTTTAAGTAAAAGTATACCGTATGTCTATCAGTCGACATAGCCGCGTATTCCTATGTATAGATTCCAGTCAATCTGTGGAGGACCGTCTGTGTATCTAGATGTATGAATATTTGCAGTCGCTGCTCCCGAAATGGTTATTTACTCCGATTTCTCCCCCTCAGCTGATGCCTCCTGCTCTAACTGCTCACGAAACCTTTCTCGTGCCAGTTTTTGTGCCTGTGGATCCGCAAATCGACGATGAAACCAGCTCTGTTGCATTATCTCACAGGCTCCCTCCCAGTCGGTTGTCCACTCGGGATAAAAGGGAGCATAGCCCAGCAGCCCTCCGATCCACCGGCCCACCACGATCCCGAGAAACAGCCCGATCCACGAGCGGAAGGGCACCCACCACGGCGGAGACAGATACGTGCCTCCGGCATCAAACATCTATACTTCTTCAGCCTTTGGGATATTTCTTAGGGAAAAATATACTTGGCTCACCGAGAGAACCTGCACGAAATCCAATTTCTCTCCCCCGTTGAAAAACATCCTCCTGATACCCATACCAATTCTCAAAAAACGGCTGATCCATCAAAGGGGCACTTTCCTCCTCCACATCAAGATCACTAGCACTCACGACAAACTCTACCTCATTCATCTCCGTTCCCGGGGTTCCATAAATGACATGATGGGTATAGGGAGGCACTGCCAGTTCGCCATCACTGGGGGTCCTGTGAATGGCACGCCCATTGAACTCGATAGTAAGATTCCCGCGAAGAACACGGAAGAATTCCCACTGGGAGGGATGGAAATGTGTGGGGGGCTTTTGGCCGGTGGCGATCAACTTGGCATAGATGCCGCGACTTGGCCTCATGATACCCTGAAATTCGAATAAGCGGTCCGGGGGCCGAGGCAAGTTACGGACCGAAATGGCTCCATCAAACTTGGTCAGCGGATCTTGACCGGCTGTGAAGGTACAAGGTTTGCAGGGAGCCATTTCTAGGTGTCTAAATAGAAATAGAAGTAGACGTGAGGGAACATCGAAATGGATAAATTGCGTACTTTACATACTCGGTATTCCATTCTCATCACCTGGTCCTATTCCAGAGGAGAATGTATCAGAATCCAAACTCGACTGAATATCAATTGAGAAAGACATTTGGTCTTCATTCGGGCGAGGCTGTCTCCGTCCTTTGAACGTCCCTTATGGAACGTCGGCCGAATGATGAGTCACCCATCACCTAAGCCACCGTTTGTCAGCTCAGCTGAACAATCCAACAAAGAAGTACAGGGAGGATAGGAGGGTATCTTGTGGAAGACTAACTTGAGGATGCCTACCTCAATACCTCTTCTTCTCTTCTACCATCTATTGTGCTCTTCACATTGGTGACCCCAAGTTTCGCATCTCCACTCCTAATCAACACATCAACGCACCCATCATGGTCAACATCATCCAGCCGAAAGTCGATCCCCTGCCTACAGGCATTGATCTGACGGGTAAATCCGTCGTTATTACCGGTGCCAGCGCTGGAATGGGCCTGGAAACCACCAAACAGCTGCTGCGATTGCGCGCTTCGACTGTGATACTCGCCGTGCGCAATGTCGCCAAGGGTGAGGCTTGCGCAACTTCCCTGCGACAGGACCGCCGCATCCAAACCCACAATCCCAATCCGACCATCAAGGTCATGGCACTTGATGTGGATGACTATGCCAGCGTACAGCGGTTCACGAAGCAGCTCCGCGAAGAGATTCCGGTGGTCCATCTCCTCATTCTCAATGCAGGTATCGGTCTGCTGAAGCTGGAACGCAGCCCGAGCGGCCATGACCGAACCACCCAAGTCAATTATCATTCCAACGTTTTGTTAATTGCCGAGCTCCTGCCGTATCTCGAGGCGGGTGCAGAGAAGACCGGCTCTCCTGCACGGATTAGCTGGGTTGGCAGTCGCGCACAGGAGAGCACAAGCCTCGAGAAGAAAGCTCCCATCAAGCCCGGTGAAGGTGTGCTGGCGCATATGGACAAAGAAGAGGCCTTTGTTCCGTTCCAGCGCTATGGGGACACGAAGCTACTTTGCGCCTTATTCATGTATAGTCTGGCGCCGCGTCTGGATCCCAAGAAAGTCATCATCAACATGATGTGTCCCGGCATGGTGAATACCAGCATGAGTGATGTTCTACCCCTACATTTGCGGTTGATCGTGAATGTCGTCAAGTCACTCCGCGCTAGGTCTGTTGAGGTGGGTGGTTGGATCATCTTGCATAGTGCGCTGGTCGCAGGCCCCGAGTCTCATGGCAAGTTCTTGGGTGACAAGGAAATTGTTGAGTGAGTGATGCATACCCCTTTTCCGAAGAAAGGTACAAATAGCTAATCTATCTTCCCCTATAGGAAAGGGGCGTTCATCCAATCACCGGAAGGGCAGGAGATTCAGAAGAAACTGTGGGAGGAGACAATTGCCGAGATTGGCACATTGACGACACTTCCTGCTGAGTTTAAATAGACGATTCGGAGGGTGTTCTTTACGTTCCTGGGAGGTCGTTGGCCAATCTCTGCCGCATTCAAGTGGAAGCCCTTAAGGCTTCAGTATCTAGCACGAATCCATCCTAACTATTCCAACGTTATATCTAGATGGGATATCTCGTCTACTGTCTCCTAAATCTTTCATACTAACTTCATACTAACAATCACCGAATCAGCTCCCACCCCCTGGCCACGAAATTGCCTGGCACCGCTGCAGCAGACTGTCGAACGTGCTCCAACGCAGCCAGCAAGTCCCCCCTCTCATGATGAATCCCAATCCCGAGCGCGACCGGTATGCCCTTCAGTTGCACGCGACTCCAGACATACCAAGACAGCGTGGTCGCATATCCTACCCACAGCCGCAGCCCGCCAGGCTTTGTTACTCGATCATCAACACCAAATACCCAACACCCCAAATCCTCAGCTATAATTGCCACCCCCTGTAACACAAAGTACTTTATTTCTCCGCCATCCGACAAGGGTAGGCCAAGCGCTCGTGTCACTTGGTATGACCCACACGCATGAATCAATCCCGAAACGAAGAAGCTCATCAAGAGGAGTGAGTACCGTCTCCCCAGCCGAACAGATGTCCGTTTAGATATCCTCACACTGCTAGGCAGCACGCTGATGAGATATTCACCGGGCGCAGCTGCCTGTCGTCGCAGCTGCTGGTGCCAGGTGTATCCCCAGAAGCGGCGAATGCTGTATGCTTCGTTCACGCTAGCGAAATTCGGTGGCCAGGAGGCAGCATCGCGCCACGAGCGAGGGCCAACTTGGAGGCCGACGCAGAGAGCCGAGAGCGGAAGCATGAGAATACCGAAATGGCTATATATTGTCATGGCACAGCCGCCCACTATCAAGGCATAGATTTGCAAATTGTCGACGAGCGACGGGATGGCATGTTGGTTTGACAAGACGAGCTGGCCGGTCACATTAAAGAGATGTAGACCCGTGTACATGGCAATCCATGTGATGAGTTGGGCTCCCACGAATTGGAATCTGGTTGTGGGCGCTGGAGACTTGGGAATGCCGCCGACGCGCCAGTTCCAGCCAATCCCACGCGTAACACTGAAAAGTTCCAGGGCCCAGAAAAGGCGCTCGGGTGCTGGAAGCCTGGCTGCATCTTCGGGGGTTTGGTCGATAACGCGGTGGAATGTCTTCTCTGGGACGGTCGTATATAGTCGGTCAAAGTAGCGTGCTAACATGTTGCCCATGAGCACGCCCGAGGAGTAGAGGATTGCCCGGTCTACTATTGGAGGTGGCGGAGCAATGAATGCCTGTACTGCGCAGGTAGTTTGGAGAAAAAATAGTCCATAGCGAAGTGCAGTCCCATGGGGTGCCTGTGGGACGCAGATGGCGAGGAAGAAGGCCAGGGCTGTATATTGTCCACTGTCGAGTGAGAATGGCTTGGTTTCCAAAGCAGTAGGTATCCAGGAAACATTCATCTCGGTCATGCTGAGAGAGATTCTAGAGAACCTGGAGATCTTTTACACGGAACTGGCCGTGTCTATGTGGCTTTTAGGGGTGTCTCGCTTTCGGTCATCGGGGCTGGGCAACATTCGGCCGATCGGGAGATCAGCGACATAGTTAAATATAACTCGACACATACAGAAATAGGGATGAAAAGACTTGGGTAGTATTTCTTGATCAATACAAACCAATGGGGCTGGTTTCTGTGGTTCCTGTGAGCCTCTGGCTCATTGCGGCGGGCACATTTGCTGTCTACCATGCCATCCGTGCTGTCTATCTGATCTTCTTCAGTCCACTGGCCGTTTTTCCAGGCTCACCATGGGCGGCTTTGGGGGAATAGTGCGTACTCAGTCTAGTATCTAAGGCCAGTCATGCTAACCATGTACTGCAGTTGGGAGGCTTATTGGAATATCGGACTGAAACCTGGCTGTAAAGGGCAGACACTGTTCAAGCTCGAAGAAATGCATAAGCGTCTAGGACCTGCATTGCGCATTGGTCCTAATGAGGTGCATATCTATGATCCAGCCTTCTACCACGAGCTGTACCGACCAGGTAGTCGGTACTACAAAGACCCATCTATGCACAAGGTCCTGGGAGCCCCGTCGAGCACGCTGGCCGAGAGTGACCCGGTGAGGCACAAGCAGCGAAAGGCACCGCTAGAGCCACTGTTCTCTAAGAAGAACATTCTCAGTCTGGAGCCAATGCTAATGGAGCATGTTGATTACTGCTCAAAGCGATTTGATGAGCTATTTACTCAGGGAAAACCTGTCTCAATGGAATGGGCTTTGAAGTCTCTGGCAATGGGTATGTATATTCCCCTTACACTACTCTCATCAGGTTAGAGACTCTAATAAAATGGGTCAGATATGGTGTCTCAGTTTGCCTTTGGCCAATCCCTCAATGCCCTCTCCGATCCGGAGTTCAAGTCACTCCCTGTGCGCGTTTTCCAACAATACCTACCCAGTCTACATGTCATCAAAGCTTTTCCTTTCGTGCGACTGCTCAACTCGTTGCCACTATGGATTGCCAAACGTATTTCACATTCCGTTGAGATGGGCCACGAGTTGGAACAGGTGAGTTCGACTTATACGCTTCCCACAGAATCCATCTGTACTAATTCGTTCTATCCAGTTCGCCGCTCGCCGCATCGATGAGTATATCGCGGGAGCAGCAGCGGGTAACATCCCTGCCTTCCCTACCCTCATGGAGCGTCTGCTCATTCCGCTTCCCGAGAAGGGGTATACAGTCCCGGACAAACAGGGTCTCCGTGATGAGCTTCTTACTGTGATCTCCGCCGGGGATGACACCACCGGAATTGCCAATACAGTCACACTTTTCAACATCTTCAATAACCGTGAAATCCATGACCGTCTTCTGGCAGAGCTGAAAACTGTTATGCCGACACCTAATTCTCATACTTCGTATCTTCAGCTTGAAGCGCTGCCATATCTGGTTCGAGTTTTCCATCCCCTTTCTCGTTCAAAAGAGAGCACATCACGCAGAGTAATATAACTAACACTGGTATGACACAAAACAGACAGCAGTGATAAAAGAGGGCCTCAGATACTCCTCTCCAGCCGCCTCCCGCACTCCCCGGCTCGTTCCACCAGGTGGCGTCCATCTTCCGGACGGCCGATTTATCCCTGCGGGAACCCGGGTCGGAATGGCCATTTACCATATCCACTACAACGAGACGCTTTTTGACAACCCCCGCCTGTTTGATCCAGAACGTTGGCTGCAAGGGTCGGAGGCGACAGCAGAGAGAGCCAAGTTCTTGGTGCCGTTTTCGCGAGGCAGTCGGTCTTGTCTAGGGATCAAGTATGTGCCCGTCTTCCTTCGAGAAATGTGGCTAACGGATTCTCGATGTAGTATGGCGTATATGGAGATGTATATGGCCATCGCGTATATTGTGCGTCGATTCGATTTGCATCTAGTGGGGACGACCGTGGAAGAAATGAAGTGGGATGATATGGTCGTACCGCAGTTTCATGGAGAGTTCCTGGCGTTGACAAAACGGCGGGAGGACTAGGTATAGATGGAGTTGTTACTATTTGTTCATATAGTTCGTGATACTATCTTCTATAGCAATAGATTGACATGTCTTTATAAGATCATCTATCCTTATAGTTGGTGATATGGTTTACAGTCCTGCGTTGCAATATTAAAAGAGAAGAAAATGCAACTATATACATATCTGCGACAGTACAATATCTAAATTATTCTTCCAATACCTGACAGAAATATTCAACCAGGTGATGCACCGTAGGGTACTTCCACACCAACGTTGGCCCAACACTCACTGTTAGCGTCTGCTGCAGGCTCATGCGGAAGTTGACTGTCATGACAGAGTCCATGCCCATCTCAGGCAGCGCCACTGTCTCATCTACCTCATCTTCGGGGATCGATAATGTCGTCGACACACACTTTCTCACAACGACGTGCAGATATGCCGCCAATTCTTTGCCAGTTAACTTCTCCCTTTGTTGCCCCTTCTCCCTGTCCCTCTCATCCCCAAGTCTCTCTTTCCTGGTTACAATATCCCTCAGAATCGCATGTGGCAGCGGTTCCCTAGATTCAAGCGGCCGAGCTCGAAAAACCACTCCATGATCGGCACCCTCAACTGCAGAGATGGAACTCCAGGCCCGGAAGGCCTCACCAGGAGTCACATCCGTAATTCCACGAGCATACAGTTCCGCCTCTAGGGCTCCATTGGAACTAGCTCCCATACCCATACCCCGCCAAGATGTCCAAAGGAGCGAGATGGAATTATCCCCCTCCTTTCTACGTGATCGCGCCAAAGCATCCAAAAATGAATTCCCACTCGCGTACGACGCCTGACCCGGGAATCCCAGGAGTTGGCCACAAGAAGAGAAGAGGACGAAGAAGTCCAAGTCAGGGGAGTTAGGAGGAAAGACGGTGTGCAGCGCCAAGGCGCCTGCAATCTTCGGCGCGAGAACAGCATCAAAGACGTCTGGAGTGATTTGCCCGATGAGCTGGTCGCGGATGATGCCAGCGGCGTGAACTACGCCAGCGACAGGTGGGAGGTTGAGTGTGGTAAGTGACGAGCGAAGGTTGGTCACCCCAGATGGATGGGAAATATCGATGGCTAAGGAGTGGATAGTGGCGCCGAGGCGTTCAAGAGAGAGGATACTGTGGATGATGGACAGGGTCTCGGGTTTATGCGAGGCGGTCCAGGTGGACCTCGGGGGTAGGGAGCGACGAGAGAGCAGCAGAATGCGTCTCGCGCCTTGGGTGACCATCCATTGTGCGACAGAGAGGCCGAGGCAGCCAAGTCCGCCTGTGATTAGATATGTGGATGCCGGGGAGAATGTGAGAGTAGCGGGTCCAGCGGTGGGGAGGAGCGGAGAGGAGCGGAGCGGGCGAAGGCGAGCAATGCGCGGAACCCCATCCTGGACCTTGATGACGTCAGCGTTACGCACGTAGCGCATTGCCATAAGCGGGAAGACCGAGGGGTCTTCGAGGTCGATGAGACTACCCCAGATCTCAGGGTGTTCGGTATGCAGAATGCGACCGAGACCTGTGAGCGCACTGTGGCCCAGATTGGTTTCAGAGGTGAGGGCGAAGAGGCGCACCCTAGGTTTATCCGAGAAGGATAGAATAACCTGGGCTGCTGATACGAGGCCATTGCAGGCGCTGGTAGCGGTCTCGAATATTTGATCGGTGACTTGAGGGAGGTAGACGACAGCCAGAGATGAATAAGTTGTCAAGGGCAAGTCAGAGGCATGTTCATGAATGGAGGTGGAGATACCTCTGCTTTCAAGCTGTCTCTGGTAGGTCTCTACATGAGAGTTGGTGATATCTGGTGCTAGGAAGGCCACATGGGCAAATTCCAACGGCTCCTCAACCAGTGCCGCAGGCGGCCAGCTGATTTGATACACCAGACCAGCGGTGGTTTTGCGCGACAGCGACTCGCCCTCGACACCGGCGAAGGCCATACCCTGGATCTCCATAAGAACGGTGCCATCCTTGCTGGTGATAATCACGTCAGCTGCGTCGACGGAGGATTGTGTCTTCCTGCAGTGGATGTACACGACTTGCGGGGTGGCCACGTCAACAGCGACGGCGCGACGGACAGCCGTGGGCATGCGGAGTCGGGGCGCACAGTGCCAGAGGGTTGAAGCGATGGAGGTTGCTGCATCCATGGCGGACGTCAAAAGATCGTCCATGCCGGGCAGGTTGTCCGGATTGGCGTTCACCCTGGCTAGCATCTCGTTGTCGCTGGCCACATGCTGAGCTACCCGCCATGGAAATCCCATGGCAGATACACCCACAGAGGCGAGGTAATCCATCGAGAAGTTGTCCGACAGCTTCTGTGGGAGTCTTTTCCGGATCTCTACTATGTTGACATGGCTGACGGAGGGTCTTGAATCAGCTGCGCCCACGGTTGCACTAGTATTGACAAGCCACGACCCATCTTCATTGCTAGTGGACTCCTCAAGACGAGATGTGATAGTGATGCTACGCGTATTATGCCGGATCTGGATCTCCCGGGCCGGAGACACCACCACAGGCACCTGAAGGGAGACATCCTCCACGCTTCTAGGAGAGAGTGCACGCAGGAATGTGCGTAAGAGGACAGCAGCAGGCACAATTTCTGACCCATGGAGTGGGTGGCGGCCAGGAAAAGGCCGATTGTCCTCCTCGAGGCGGGTTTGATATAGCACCTCATCCGTTCCCCACAGCGCGGTGCGAGCACCTAGCAAGTCATTGGCCGCAGGTTTGTGTGTTGGCGCCAGTTGTGCAGTCGTCATCCCGCTCACAGCACGATAGAATGACTGGTGATGCCACTTTGTTCCAGGAACAGATGAACTCCATGGCGCAGTCGGGTCAAGATCTGTACATTTCACAGTGCAGCCGAAGCAGTGCAGACGGCCCACGGCGGCCAAGATGCTCTTTAGCACCGGCTGCATACGCACCATCGTGGGTGTCGCCATAAACCGGTCCGTCGTCCGCTCGCTGATAGTCTCGACGATCGAGTGCGTTATGATGGGATGACTCGCCAGTTCCACAAATGCGCGGAATCCATCGTCCACGAGTGCGACGACTGTCGACTGCAATCGGACCGGTTGGACCATGTTCATCACCCAGTATTCGGCATCGCGTGGTACTTCTGACCGTGGATCCAACAGTGAAGTCGAATAGAGCGCCCGATGCGGCTCTTGAGGGTGTAGCTCGCCCTTGAGCGCGTCACGAAGGGGACCAGCTAACTTCTCCAGCAGGGGTGTATGAAAGGGCACATCCGTAGCGACGGCACGCACCTCGATACCTTCTTCACGCCATTGTTGAGATATTTTCTGGACAGCGTCAATATTGCCAGACACCACACACGCGGTCGGCGATGCCTCAATTGCGACCGACGCGCCCGGGTGCGTGGCGATACGCGCACGGGCCTCAGACACCGGCAGCCGAACCAGGGCCATCGCACCTTGGCCGATGAACTCACGGTAAAGGCGCGCTCGTCGACATACTACTAGAGCTGCTTCATGCCAGGTCAGGGCCCCAGATATGACTGCCGCAGCGGCCTCGCCTAGTGAATGGCCCACAACAGCGTTAGGAGGACCAGACTCCGCCTCGAGCACGGCGGCGATGCCTAGATGCATGAGGAATGTCATCGCCTGGATGACATCGGTGCGATCCGGACAGCCGGTTTGCAAGGATTCAATCGCGGAGAACCCTAGCTCGGCTTGAATAATTGGCTCCAGATTGCGAACTACTTCTCCGAATGCTGGGCTAGTGTGAAATAATTCGCGACCCATATCGGGCCACTGCGCACCATGGCCTGAGAATACCCAGACTGTGCCCTTTGCTGCCTCGGATCCAATTCGGTCATTGATAGCCCAACGATTTGTCACATCCTTGGCCAGGTCATCGAGGGCGAGGATGGTGTTTGCGACGGAATCAACGACTATGGCGTGGCGGAAGCGATGATGCGCCCGACGCTGTGATAGCGTCGAGGCGACTGTTGCCAGGGATACCGCTCCATCGCTTTCGCGCAGCCATTGGCTTAGGCCGCTAGCTGTTGTTGAGATTCGGTTCGCTTGAGGCACGGACAAGAGAAGAAGGACTGGCGCAGCATCACTGTCTGGAATCTGGGCCAATCGATCGGCGAACAAGGATCGTCCTGAAAAGGCCTCGATAATCGCATGCGATACTGTACCGCTGTATCCGTAGGATGCTACAGCCGCCCGCAACGGTCGTGATGAGTTGCCGTGGGGTAATGTCACCAGCTCGCGGGCCGGGCATAGTAAGCTCTCTTTCCATGCAATCTTGCTATTCAAGGTATGCAAATTGGCCTGTGGGGGCACTTGGCCATGGCGAAGCACAAGAACCGCCTTGATGAGACCCATAACACCGGCACCGGCCTCCAAATGGCCGATATTCGGCTTGATAGAACCGATATAGCACGGGTTGGATGGATGCCGCCCGGATGCCATACCGTAAACCTCAGCTAAGGCCCTTGTTTCTGTGGGATCGCCCAGTGATGTGGAAGTGGCATGTGCCTCAATATAGTTGATTGAGTCGGACGCCACCTTCGCCTCCTTGAGTGCCTTTTGGGCAACGAGAAGCTGTGCCTGCGCGTTCGGGGCCATAATTCCGAGCGTCTTGCCATCCGAAGCTACTGCACTGCCCTTCAGTACAGCTAGCACCTGGTCGCCGTCTGTCAGGGCTTTATCCAGACGCTTTAGGATGACAACACCCGCCCCTTCGCCTCTGCCATACCCGCTAGCAGAGTCGTCGAAGGAACGACACTTTCCATCCGCGGAGATGGCTCCCGCTTCGTCCAGCACCCGGGTCAATCCGGGTCCCAGGAGTGCGTTGACGCCGCCTGCGATGGCTAGATCGGTCTCGCCAGCACGGATAGCCTGTCGGGCATGGTGTACCGCAACCAGAGATGATGCACAGGCCGCATCCAGTGCAACGCTAGGACCCATCAGATCCAGCAGATATGATATACGGCTGGGGATTCCGCAGTAGGCTGTGCCAACGCCCATATGTGCACCCACATCGGGGAGGTCTTCCAAGACCAGCTTGGCGTAGTCATCGGAGTTGACACCCATGTATACTGAAGTGTTTGAACCCGCAAGACGGGAAGGAGAGATGCCTGCATCCTCCAATGCCTCCCAGGCAACCTCGAGGGCAATGCGCTGCTGAGGGTCCATCTGCTCCGCCTCGCGCGGGGAGATCGCGAAGAAAGCAGCATCGAACTGGTCGATATTGTTGAGGAAGTAGCCCTTGTTGGTGGTTTTAGCCAGTACGGCCGCATTACGAGGATGGCGCTGTCGATAGGGTTCCCAACGCCAGGAGGGCATGTCTCCTGAAGCATCGCCCTTCTGGATGAGGAACTGCCACAGTGCGGAGGGGGACTTCACGTCTCCTGGGACACGACATGCCATGCCTATTATGGCAACCTCGCCATTGATATCATTGTGGAGGGGATCATCTTGCATCTCAGCGTCTTCGGTGCTCGTTGCGGGAGTCGTTGTGCCTTTGCTATTGTTGGAACCCTCTGTGGGGGTGAGAGCCTCTATGCTGCTGGTTGAAGCAATCATTATGCTGTGTAATGTAGACTCTATGATGAAAATAATGCTTAAATAAGGTGATCTGAAGATTTTCAATCTTCTTTGGGGTCAGTCCAATCCAATAAATCTCCCTCTCTATGTATTAATATGAAGATTTTACCATTTCACTATGTCTATACTTCGTCTGGCACCAATAGGAGTCCATTTCAGTATCTAATACGATTCACTGAGCCATCGGCCGGTGTGACTCTCTGGCGACATGGCATGAATTTCAGTGGTCAGCTTGTCGGCCGAGGTGAGATTCTCTCTGCCCTAAGGCGATTCCTCACGCGACTCGGCCCAGCAAGGAGACCGACCCCGAGGGCACTGGGTCATACAGAGAGGTAGTGCTTTGAAATGTATTTTTTTGACAACCGGGAATATGAACTTTTGCTTTTCCTTATCTTAATTTGTCTGGAATAAGGATCTTTCATTATACACAACTGCTTGAGACAGTCGTCCGAGCATCATCAATATGGCTGTGTCTATTACCCTAAAGTCTCCGCGCAATGTGCCTCGCGGTGTATGGGAACTGGCCCGGTTACACACTCGTGAAGCCTGGCTATGTTGGTATCCCGCCATCTGGGGAGCATGTGTAGCCGCGGGCATGCGAGATGTGTCGCTGGAACTAGCGCCATTTCTCTGTTTACTCTTCGGCATCTGGGCCAGCGTGACAGCTACACACTGTGCATTCTGTACATTCAAGTAAGTCTGCAGAGAAGCCACAACCTGTCTCTCTCTCACTGACGAGTGAATTATAGTGATATATGTGACCAAAAGCTCGACAAACACGTTGAGCGATGCAAGGTCCGCCCTCTACCAGCTGGCATGATTAGCACCTCCGAGGCCGTGGTGGCTTTCATCTGCTGGTTGCCTCTCACACTTGCCGTTACTTGGGGCACACTGGGTTCGACCGTCACAGTGGCCTTCATTCCTGTATGGGTGCTGAGCACCATCTACCCGTTCATGAAGCGCATCATGCCATTCCCACAAGTTGTGCTGGGGGCAATAATTGGTGGTGCGGTTTTCCCGGGATGGGTGGGAATTACTGGAGACCTGAAGAATCTGGATCAAGCACTTCCTCTATTCTTCGCTACAGTCGCGTGGGTTGTCTACTTTGATATCTTCTATGCAACACAGGACCGTCCGGACGATGAGAAAATTGGTGTCAAGTCACTCGCCGTACTGATGGGGAAGAATGTGCAGACCCTTCTGGCGGTGCTAGGAGCTCTGCAGGTATTTCTCTTTGCCGTCACCGCGCTGCGCGCTGATATGTCGCTCATCTTTTGGGTGCTGGGACTGGGTGTGTGGATGGTGAGTATGCCGTGGCATATCCTGTCGTTGGATCTCAAGGATCGACATTCGGGAGGTCGAATTTTCAAGTCGAATATCAAGCTGGGCTTGTATTTGACGGGGGTGTCTTTGTTGGAGCTGTTTTTGGTGCGCGTATTTGATATTTCCCTGGCAAATATGAACATGGAGCTGCGCTAGGGGATGTAGCACCATACTGGGAAAGGGTAGCATTCAGCATGGGAGTGTGGAGCGATAGCCACACTGGTCAGGCCACTGTTCAGTCCTAAGCTGTCAGGTTTTGATATGCCGGTATGTTCTCCGGCCGAGTATGATCGGTCTTGTTCTTGCTCGGCCGTGAGAACACATTAGTTGATATCAATACGAAATTATGATCAATATATATCTCCCGAGTTATTCCCATTCATTCATCCGCACCTATATATAGTAAAACAAGCTACTCGTTACCATGAACCGCATCGACGTGCACCATCACTTCATTCCCCCTGCCTATGTCAATGGTATCTTGATCTGATCCCTAACGTCTCCCCAAGAATACAAATAACCAAGACATAGCATTCAACTCAACTCATGGTGACCCCTCCGGCTGGCACCTCCCCAAATGGACCCCAGAATCGACCTTTTCCCTCATGACCTCTCACACCATCCGCACGGCCATTCTCTCCTTGACCGCACCGGGAACTTCTATCCTATTCAATTCTCCAGTAGACTCGGCCGCTCTCGCCCGGCAGGTAAACCTCTACGGCTTCCAACTTCATCAGGAAAACCCCACTCGGATCGGTTTCTTTGCCAGCCTCCCGCATCTGACACCTGAAACCATCCCCTCGGCTATCGAGGAACTTGCCTTTGCCTTGGACATCCTCCAAGCTGATGGCATCACTCTCTACACTCGGTATAGTGGAACTGGGTACCTCGGTCATGCTGCCTTTGCGCCACTCTGGGGGGAACTGAACCGCCGCAAGGCAGTAGTCTTCATCCACCCGACAAACACCGCCTCAGACGCCCAGAACAAGCCTGAGATGGTCAATGCAAAACTACCACAGCCGATCATTGATTACCCTCACGAGACATGCCGAACAGCGGTCGATCTTATCACCTCGGGGACGATCTCCAAGAACCCCGATGTGAAGATTATTCTGTCTCACGGAGGGGGTACACTCCCTATTCTCGCTACCCGGGCTGCAAACCTGCTTTATGATGCAGGCCTAACCGATATTACCCCAGAGATATTTCTGGAGCAGGCTAGGGGGTTTTATCTTGATCTCGCGCTATCTGGGAACCCGGGGAATTTGGAGTTACTGGTGGGCAAGAATGGGTTTGCAAAGACAGGGCATGTGCTATATGGCAGTGATTTTCCCTATGCTCCTCGTGAGACTATCAACAAATATGTTGGGATGATGGAGGATTTCATTGCGCAAGTAGGGGAGAATGAGGAGATTTCCCGGAGTGCAGCAGTACAGTTATTCCCGCGTTTTCGGATTGAGGAGGATAAGAAGAAAATATTTTACAAATCTAGGCTATAGATAGATGTACCTTCATGTATATGAGGAGAATAATGCATCATCATTCGAGAATCGAATACGAGAAAGAGTATAATGGATACGGTGTTAGGGCTAGCTGGATCTTCAAGACAAAAGTAGCGAAGTTTGACAAGACTTGTAAAAACCATCAATATAGCTTGAAAACTAGTTGACTATAATTAACTACACGAATTATGTCATCTCGGTCAATACAGTCTCTCATACGGACATCCGGTCATACTAGGTCGGCCGACGTGGTTTTCTATGGTGATTATATCGTATTCTAAGAGTATATATTCTCGCATCCCTGTTGCTTCATACAAATGTCATGTCTCTTTACAGTCTTCTCACCTTCAATTCATCTTGAAATTTTCATGGGTTACATTGAAAGTGTTCAGCAACCTCATGGCGCTTTTTTATATAGCCAGTCTGGCTGTGACGGGCCTGGTGTTGCTTGTCCTCCGATCTGTCTTGTATAGCTGGAGAATACAGCACAAACTACCTCCTGGTACCTGCCGGATCCTTCTATCTTGATCAAGTAAGAAATTTTCAAGCTAATGATGTCCAGGTCCACCTGGTCTCCCTCTCATTGGCAACATCCACCAGATCCCACCAGTGCGCGCGCATCGAAAGTTCGTTCTTCTTCGTCCTTCTGATTGAATGTACACTCTGACATGAACAGATTCACCGAATGGTCCAAAATATATGGTGGCCTCTACAGCTTCCGCATTGGCCCAGCCGTAGCCGCAGTAATTACAGATCGAAGTCTAGTCAAGGAACTGCTCGACAAACGCAGCGCTCTATACAGCTCAAGGCCGATCTCCTATGTCGGACAGAACCTCATAACCAGCGGCGACCATCTCCTCGTTATGGACAACAACGAAACCTGGCGGCTGTTCCGCAAGACAGTTCACCAGCATTTCAAGGCGAGCATGTGCGAGAAAGAGCACGTCAAGCTACTCGAAGCCGAGCACACACAGATGATGCGTGACTTTCTCCTTTATCCAGAGAAGCACATGCTACATACAAAACGAACCACCAATAGTATAATTATGAGTCTACTGTATGGGATTCGTACCCCGTCGTGGGATACGCCACATATGGAGGAACTCTACGAGATCATGGAGAAATGGTCCAAGATTATGGAAACCGCCGCCACGCCGCCTGTCGATATCTTCCCGTGGCTGAAATGGATTCCACAGAAGTGGCTAGGCAACTGGGTAGATCGGTCGGTAGAGGTGGGTAGCGGCATGAAAGCGTTGTACGGATCCTTCCGGCGACGGGCGATCGAGGCACGACGACAGGCCGAGCAGGGCTTACAAAGCCGAGCTCGCACGTTCATTGACCATGTACTGGACCTACAGGAGAAGGAAAACCTCACTGACAATCAGGTCAACTTCCTCGGTGGCGTGATGATGGAGGGTGGATCTGACACCGGGTCCACGATGCTCCTCGTGATGATCCAGGCGCTGGTGCAGCATCCGGAAGTACAGGAACGTGCGCGTGCTGAGATCGACGCTGTCTGTGGCGAAGATAGATCCCCGACATGGGCGGATTTCAGCCGTCTACCGTACATCAACATGATCGTCAAAGAGACAATGCGCTGGCGGCCAGTGACGCCACTATCATTCCCGCATGCGCTCAGCCAAGATGATTGGGTCAATGGGTATCTCCTACCGAAGGGGACAACCGTCTTTCTGAACGTGTGGGGCCTCCACCACGACGAAAGCGTATTCCTCAATCCCGACCGATTCGACCCCAGTCACTACGAAGGGCGAAATAACCTGGCTTCGGACTACGCCGTTTCACCGGACTACATGCAGCGGGACCACTTCATCTACGGGGCTGGACGAAGGCTCTGCCCAGGGATCCATCTGTCAGAGCGTAGTATGTTCCTTGGAGCTGCAAAGCTCCTCTGGGCATTCCGGTTCGAGCCTGAGCTTGATGAGTCGGGTACGCCAGTCGCCATCGACACTGACCCGATCACAGGGTACACCGAGGGGTTCCTTGTGTGTCCAAAGGCGTACAAGTGTAAAGTCTCTCCTCGCTCTCCTGCGACGGCCGAGACGATTCTCCATGAGTTCGCGCGGGCCGAGTCCGAGATACTTTGTCAATATGCGAGGCCATAAGTTGTAAGGCAGAGTGTGAAGGGGAGGGCTGCTGGCACAAGGCTGACTGCAGATTATTCGGCCGAATGTGATGTATATAACATACTTTAGCAGACATTGACCCGGGGTGTGTGGACCGGGGAGGCCACGGTGTAAGCGCCATACAGTGTTTCTGAGGGATGTGATTCGCTCAATCTTATTGGAAGGCTGCACGTTGAAGGAAATAGCTGTACCGGGATGCTTGGATACCCCTGTATGCATGTGAGATCGCGAAGAATGTTTGTGCCTTGTGGTGCAGTAGCGCAGTCCGTAACGGGAGAATGATGTATCGTGCATTGCAGGCTTGCGTGAGGTCCGAATCTCTTGTGGAATCAGGTCAAATCATGTAATTGGACGACGCAGGTCTATCAAGATTGCTCATAGCATCTCTACATTTATTTTTGCTTACGATAAGAAAAGGAAAAGCAAAAAGAAGACGTATAATAGCGCTATTACGCTTGGAAATCGAATCCTTCATGCAGGTCGCGGCGACCAGTTGCTATACTGTGCGCGCCTAACCCTGTGATTATAGCATGATCGGGCGTTATATTATCAGAATGCGCCAGGAGGTTGTCGGATTCCAGAATCAACGACGACGACCAGGCCTCTAGATCGGAAATAGTAGCAAGGAAGTCCATATCTAAGCCCGAGTCACTGCCAGCCACCAAGAGGCTGTTTGGCGGGCCTGGCTTTTCGCCAGCGACCACTGGAAGAGGTCCTGTGGTCATAGATGGGGTCTCACAATTGCGGTTGGTGCGAGTGGTAGAGGAGGATCCATCGGGAGAGGTATGAATGGATGTCGCGCGTAACTCGCTCGACTTGGTAGCAAGGTGCGACGTAGGAAAGCGAGCTTGACACCCGATCAGGTCCAATGGCAGCGGGGGCCGGTCTTCAGCTTCAAGAGATGAGTCGAGGCGTTCGTGAAGGTCAACGAGAACCTGAATGACCAATGGCATCCGCGCCTTGCTCGCATTGGAATCAGTATCATCAGGGCTGGTCCTCGTCGAACAGCCATTTGGAGTTTGATACTGGGCCACGCAGTGATGTATAACCTCATCAACACAATATCGGGCCAGCAAGGTCTCTCCAGAGTCCGGAAAGGAATGGAGATATATTAGGGTGATGAATACGCATTGGAGAGGCCCATAGTGGCTGCAGAAAAACCACGCGTAGGGGGAGAATGCAGGAGCTTGATACAGCTGCAGGTAGATACGCAAGTAATTCACACAAAGCTGCGTCATGCTGGAGGGTCAAATCGCGTGTCAATAAGTCTATCATATCAATATAGGTATGAATGATCAGTGTAAATGGATAAACCCTCAAGCTGGACAGGATTTGCTGTATGAGGCTATGCAACGGGAGATGCAATGTATTATGCTGGACAGGAATGAGATGTAGGGAGAAAGGATCCATACCTGGTCCATGACTTACGTAATTACGCATTCTTCCTGTCTGGGGGTAGCAGAAATGGTTTCTGCAATAAAATGGCCACTTCCGATTTCAGCAATGTTAACATAATTCGCGTCCAGGCTGCAAAGACGGTTGGCTGCTTTGCATCATCCTTGTACAACGAGGGATGCGTGGATGGAGATGCATTGGCCAGGCGGGATGGGATGTAACCCCTTTCCGGGATTCCCTGCGTAGGAACGCGTGCAATGATCGAGTCGATCTTCTGCAGAAGCCCCTTGGCATCTGTGACCAGCTCGCCAAATCCATCCTGGGTCGGACCTTGCGCGCTCTGCAGGTGCGCCACGATTTTCGCTTTTAAGTGAGCAGTCTGAAAGCGTCCGATGGCGTATAGTGCGGCCACCGATTTCCCATTAGTCTTAGTCACAGAGTCGGTGCGTTGGGAAAGTCTAGCAGGGATATCGCTGGGTTCCTCATGGTGAGTGTCGACCATGCTCACAGTCTCCAAGGCCTCGTTCCCACAACAGGGGGTCAGCCCCGTGGAGATGCTCGACTGCACATCGAGCCAAACAATGTGCCACCAGATGCGACGACGGATTTCCTTATCCACGCAACTCATCCCAGACCATGTTCCTTCCCGATGTAAACCCATAATCTGAGCAATGCGCACCGTGGTGCTCACATGCACCAGACTACGCATGGGCTCGAAGGGCCGGTCCAGGAACGGCCCCGTCAGCAAAGTTGAAACTAGTGTATTGAAAGTTGGATGCTCCAGATGCTGACACAAAGAAAGGCTCGTCGTAAATGCCGACTTGAGGTGGCTCACTGTCGTCTCCTTCTGTAGACCATGGAGGTTGGTGTACGTCCAGCTGGCTACTGGTGCTGCGGATGCGCCACAATATAGGACTGCAAAGAGAAGGCATATAAAGGTAGGGTCATCGCGAAGTTTATCCGAGGGTAACGCACTCTCACTGTTCCGGCACCAATCCCAGAACTCGTCGTATTCTGCCTGCAGGGAAGGCGGGTGTAGGAGAGGAACAAGCGGCCACACGGCGAGGAAGAAGATCTCGAACAGGGCATCACTCACGGGCTTGGTGGGTAGCGACCGCAGGAGATTAAACATGCCGATAGAGGAAATATGGGGAAGGGGCAGATCGGGGTGGGCATGTCGGTTTTCGTCAAAGAAGTCATCGCTCAAATTCTCCTACAGGAAGATCCACCCAGGTCAGTCATGGTTCTGCTAGGCGACACATCCCGTCGCAGATTGTATTTGCTTGTTTGTGTGACCCGAGCCAGACTCACCTTGCCGGCAACGAGACCCCAGAAAGTCCGACCAACATATCGCACGCGGCCACCTCGTCGTATACTCAGATAGTCGCGGCAGAGGGGGTCGCGAAGGGTCGGAAAAGAGCTTGTTGAGGGCACCGGGGAGGGATCTCGGGTAGTTGTCGAGCTACCTCTAATTTGAGGAACGCTCGCGTCACGAAAATGAGGGAGCTGGATAGCCTCTTCCCATGAAGGGACTGTTGGATATAGCTGTCGATGTGGAGAAGGACTGGCATTGGATAATTGAGGACGAGAAGGAGGTCTAGACGGTTTCTCCGGATATGGCGCATTGGCGTCTGGGCCCCAATGGGGCCAAGGGAGGTCTAGGCGAGCATCGGAGTCTCTGGCATCTCTGTCCTGGGGTGATACTGGTCGTACACGGCCGGTAGACTCATCTCGGACCATGGCCCTGTAGACACAATTCTCTTTCATGCGCACGCAGTTGGCACATTGTGGCTGTTCGCGACCGCAGCGAACCTTGCGTCGCCGACAGACGATGCAACTGAGCGATAACCGGGGCTTCTTGATATGGCGGGGTTCAGATAACGGCATCATTTCAAAAAGAAAAAGGGACTAGATAATTTGATACCTCATCTGAGGGGAGTGGTGGGCTTTTATTGGACTCATCTTGAACGAAGAGAAAGGGGAGCTGCCGTACAGCTGCCGGTGCAAGGATAAAAGAATTTGGCCCCAACTAAGATAAATATCTCTCACCAATATAATTACATTTTCACCCGTCAGACTGATATTTGAGCCTAAGTATAAGAATGTATTGAATTAAATATTAAATTAAATAGATTAATGCATAGAAATTCGAGCACATCCATGTCATAGCGCTTACGGGTATATTTCAAAACATATAAGGGACTCATCTAAGATATACATATAGATCCAATTATCCCACAGCTTAGAGAAACCAATAAATACCACGGCTTAACATTAGGTATTTAACCTTAAAACCCGCTATAACAGTATATAGAGACCTGACTACTCCGTATAACTTCGACTACCTGTGAAGTTCTCGCCCTAGAACTAATGCTCATGTCCAGGTTGGCGTACTAAATTAGGAACACGAATGGTGCCATTAATGACACGAGGGGGCTCATTAACAATACGAGGGATTGGCACTGATGTTACATATATATTCATGGGAGACATCAGCTCTCAAACTATACAGGCCGTAGGAGTTCGGGTACAGCTATGCAGTGAATATCAGAGTAAGTAAAAAAAAGGGGAGATCATCGGGAATATATTCAAAGTAGCCAGTGTCAGTTACAGGTAAAATCAATTACGAGATCAAATGCATCATTATTTAACTTGGACTAAATTCTACGTCGATCGGTTTCAGACACATAATCGCCATAAAGCCAAAGACAGGAGCATCGTTCACTGGCTACAAAGGCCTCCCAAAAGCAAATATCAAAGTCAGATAGCCAGGTACGCAATGAGCGAGCTAGCTAACCAATCCAACGAACAATTGTACCTGATTGTACTTTGTAGCTCTCCTTCCTGCATTAGCCATTGGGCTGTTTTGCAGATCTAGAACCATGATATAGGGTCTTCTCGGCTTAGCTGACACTCGGAGATGCTCGGTTCATGCAAATAATTTCCCATCTCAGCCGATAAAAGCGCATCTCGAAAAAGCACCTCGAATACTTTGGCCTCCCGGCTATTTCAGTTACTCTTTAGTCTTAACTTTTCAAGCACAGTTAGTTGATGCCATATTACTTTCTTCTACATATATGAATTTGTGTTTGGAACCCACGGAACATCCCTTGAATTTGCTTTTCACGTTGATCTTATACTGGATTTTCATGAACAGATTTTCAACATTCAAATAATCAGTCGAGAATGTCAACCTTCTAGAGAAAATATACTGGGGCTCGCTATGGAGAAACAGACTGTCGATTCATATGGATCGAAAGGGACGGAGAGGAAAAGGAGAAAGGGAGTCAGACCTGTCCCTGTCCCTATACCTCAAGCACCCAACAAATATTGCTTTAGGAATCAATGAGCTCTCTCGGTCTGAAAAGTGGTGATTTTTTTGAGAGGTATTTGGTAGTGCGGTTATAAAGAAACTACCCGGAACAGTCATCAAGCTATTCATCTCGAGTGTAGGCAAGGGGAAGTAGGAATACACACCAAGCTCACAAGTTTATTTGTTGGCTCCGACAATTCATTGCGTTATGTGCCGTTTCTTTAAGAATTAATAAGATTGATTACCTTGGTGCACTTCAAGCACAACTTTCTGATGATAACAAAGTGAGAAAATATCAAGAGTGTAGCGACAAGGCAGTGAAAAATAATTGCAGTAGAAAGTGTTAAGCTGGATACATAGTTGACGCAAATACATGTGGTTTGCGGTTGCACTAAGCGTCGACTACATGTATTTGTGTCTACATCCCCCCGAGGCGCATAGTCCCACACAAAACCAAATCAAAGATATATCTTAATGCTGACGCTGGCCTTGCATTTTATCCAGCTTCGCTAGAATCCCCGCCGCACCTGCAGCCCCATATCCGCCCTCCCTCCAGCAGGTCTCGATAATATCTCGGGCCCAGATTCGCTTTCCCAGGGAAGGGAGTATATCCCGGGATGGAAAAACAGCGACCGAGTCGTCAGTGCCACTGTTATGATATAGGCTGATACCGGTCTGTCTCCCAGTGACAATCTCATAGAACACGAGGCCCAGCTGGCAAAGATCCGTCCAGATCGAGCAATTGTAACCATCCACGGCATCCGCCATAACAGTATCGATGGGCATAATAGTGGAGGCCCCGAGATCAGCAATCATGACGTTCAAGGAACCATCCAGTAGAATGTTACGGCTGAGGATATCACTGTGGATGACGCGACGTTGATGAAGATTGTGGAGGCCGATGGTAAGCTGACGGAACCAGCGCTTCTGAAGCTCTATGCTGGGTCGCGCTCTATGCTTCAGCCACTTTGAAAGTGCACCTCCTGACATATACCTCAGCTCGATGGTATCTCCAGGAAGGTCGAGACAATGGACGATGCCTTCTACTGGGGTATCGAAGTTGGGCTGAATGCGCCGCCAGATCTCTTGCTCCCGTCGAATCCTATTACGATTTCCTTCCACCTTCTCTAGCGTGTAGTTCTTATACACAATTGCCATCTTGATTGCCACGTCCTCTCGCTGGACAACTACTGCTGCGTCACCAGTTGCGAGGATCGTATGAGCCTTGATATAGTGACCCTCATCATCGATGAGGCAATGTACGGCGCTCATTTCGGGTGATTGCTGATGGTCTATCTCTTCGACAGGAGTAGATATTCTGGGCAAGTGTCTTCTTGGTGAAAGCTAGCAAATGATGACTTGGTTAGGTTGTAGAACTTGGATGGAAGAAGAGGATGTCATACCTGTAGAGAATGTGTTTATTTAAATTTCGGCTACGGGAAAGCGGCCACAGTTCCGACACTGCCTCTTGAACGTTTGTGGAGTAGGGATTCTGAAGTGAATAGGAGAGCTTTGCGGTTTGAAGACCTGGGATCTGGGGCTGTTGGATTGGTTGGACTGGGATTTTGACCCCTTGGAGATGCTTGAAGGATCCTTGAAAATGAAGTCTGGAAACCCCCAGAGGATGTTTGATTGGAATTAAGAACGAGCGTCTTGACGGTGATGTTTCGCGGGCGGGATAGTCACAAAGAATGCAAGTGAGATCAATGAAAAGGACATGAAAGGGAGATAAATGAGAGGTTTCCTTTAGAGATTCGGAGAGCAATTTCTTTTCTTCATCAGCTTCATCTTCTTATGTGATCTTTTACATAAATTTATATTTCCATTTTGGGAGGGATCGGGGGTTCGACCTTGGCCCGAATCACAGTGTAGATACAACCATGCTTTAACTGGACTTGTAATTTGGCTGAATATGTTGCCCTTCATCTCCTGTCCGAAATGGGCCTTTTTGATCCCATCCTTAAGTCCATTTGTGAACCTTTTAGAAACCATCGGCGCTCCATCGCAATAGGCAAGGTCGCAACGTATTAGGCAATATTCGAGGTGAAACCTGCTGATATCTCGCACTTGGTTGAATATGGTGTGCTTCTCTTGCTTAAGCAACATATCGGGCCATATGCAAATGATAAAAGGATGTTGAAACTGAGTAGAACCGGGGCTACGAGTGGTTGGTATGTACATCGTTGCATTACAGATTGTCAGCCCGAAATGATGCGTTTCATCACACCCTTGAAGCCATGAACGATGCTGTGAAACTCTGAGTGGAACGAATCACAATGCGGGAAATCGCAACCTATTGGGCAATATTGCAGTAGAACGATAGTCATCTCGTTGCCTGTCAGTGGAGGGGCAACACGCAGTCCGTTAACAGGAGTGCCTAGCAACCTGTAGCCAGTATCTATACACATTGAACAAACGCGCTTGATGGATGCGAGGCCGATTTGGGCTTCATAGAGGATACCGAGAAGGATCTACAAGAAATCGGTCTGAGACTTCATATAAGAAACTGTGATAGTGAACCAAAAGCGATTGCGTCAGGAAGGGAGCCCTGGAAAGTTCAAAGAAATTGGTAAGGGATGAGATCGTCCCGATGAATCGAGAACCTTGCAACTAGGCACATTTGTAAATATCTAGTGTGATGATATCTAGGGCCTTTCGACTGCATCACAAATTCAAGACCACAATATGCATATCAAAAATGTGCGTTGGTATTCTAATTTCTTTCTAAATCTAACTTCCATACATTGCCTCTAACGCCCATCACTTAAACTAAACTTGTCTCACATATACATCACTCATAATTGGTCGCCAATTTACTGCTCGTTCGTAAGAACATAGCGGTAACGAGCATCACCGTTTTCCATATCCACGATAGCCTGGTTGGCATCCGCCATTGGGCGCTCCTGAATCCAAGGCTTGACGCCCTTGGCAGCAGCCAACTCCAGCATCTCCCGAATCTCACCGGGGCTACCGATCAACGAGCCACCAAGTTTGATACCCTTAATGATAAGAACGAAAGCTGGGATCTCGAGACCGCCATCATCGGGGGCACCGAGCTGGATGAAGGTACCACGAACACGCAAAAGTCCACAGTACTGGACAATCGGCATCTTGGAAGACGAAGCAGTGGAGATGATCAAGTCGAGAGAGCTAGCGTGGCGGGTAGCCCAGTCCTCATCCTCACCGGTGGCGATGAAGTCATCCGCACCGAGCTTGAGGGCATCGGCCTTCTTATCAGACTTGCGGGAGATAGCGACGACGCGGTCAGCACCGAGTGCCTTGGCGAACAAGATAGCAAAGTGGCCAAGACCGCCAACACCGACGACACCAACGGTCTTTCCGGGCCCGCAGCCATTCCGCTTAAGAGGCGAGTAGGTAGTGATACCACCGCAGAGCATAGGCGCCGCATCGGCAGAGGAGATAGCATCGGGGATCTTGATAACGAAGTGTGAAGGAGAGCGGTTGTACGTGGAGTAACCACCATACGACTTGCCACCGTTGGCATAAGTACCGTTGTAAGTGCCGACCATCTTAGTGCAGTGCTGTTCAATTCCAGACGCACAGGCGTCACAGTCGC